TCTGCTTCCTCATGTTTTGTAGTTTTGTAAAATGCTGCTGAATCATTATAACTTGTTTTACACTGCTACTGCAGACTAGAGGGTTTACCACAGTCAGGGAAAAAAATTATCAAATCCATTCTCTCTACAATGAGAAGTGCTATAACACACACGGCTAGGGAAAAGCAAAATAGGAATTGACTGAAATTTATAATCCTCTTGAAGTGATTGCACTTGTTCAGCTTCACATAAGAATAAACGATATAATTGTTGTAAATTGAATGCAGTATCTAATAAATATAAAAGTTTCATTTATCACTGAGAAATACAGTAAAGCTTACAGATCTGCAATTTTATTAATGACAATAAATCGTTACTCCATTTTAACTGTCACTTAAATCAAAAAATAACAGAAACAAAATCCCCAAGAATTTCTACATTGAACAAAACGTCCCCTCCCTTTCACCTTCCTGTCCCCCAAGAAAGGAGAACTTTAGATGCGCAGCAAGGAGAAACAGGCCTGTTAAGAACTCACAAACCTACAACCAGCCAGAGCAGAGGAGGGTTCTTTGAAGGTCATTCCACCACACTACTGCCAACCTGGTACCACTGCTGCAGCAATCAGAGATCCTAAACTCCAACAGCCCATTTTTCCACTGCTGCAACACCACAACGATCAGGATCCATACAGCTCTGAGGAACAAATTTGGACATCTGCAACATTAACCACTGAAAGAGATTCAGCCGACAAGAACACAGAAACACACAACTATGCATAGTGAGAGCTTTTAAAGAGAAGGCACTGTCCCACACAGACATTCACATTTCTCTGCATAACAGTCAGCAAGATGTTAACAGAAGCTGATCTGGCCCTACACAGATCCAAAACAGGCCCACTTGAACTCTGTCACATCTGTAATGTGCTAGCAAGGATCAATCACCACTGCTTTTCATCTCAGCCTAGCAAGTATCACACCACACAGCCTCCAAAATCTGCACTTGTGGTGGGAAATGGGCAGTTCTGAGCACCAGCACAAGGTACTTAGGCTGACACTGGTTAAACCCAGCGTGTATTTGAAGGACGCAGAACTGCCACACCTTCATTGTTAGAAAACTAAGCTTTCTCCTCAAAAATAACAACCAAAAAACACTGTGCTCTGATGGTACTGACAGGTAAGAAATGGTATATGAATGTCAATGAAAATTATAATACATTAGAGGTATAGCACCCAGAAAGCACTAATCATGGTGTCCACTGCAATTTAAAAATAAAATTTTATCCTATTGAAATTTTGCTGGTCCATACCAACATTGCTGCCACTACACAGTTATAGTTACTGTCTTCTGAACATTATTCTGTAACTCACAGAGATTTTTCTGAACTCAGAGGATGTGAAATACAGAATTGACAGCTTAGGAAGCAAAATTGTGCTTGTTGGCCTTAACCACAGCACTCTCTGCTATAAGCCAGGCCTAAAATCAGTTTGTCTCCCAGCATATAACCTGCTCTATGATGAAAAATGGTAACGAAGCAACAAAGAACCTAATCTTACTCTCACTGAAATCAGTAACAAAACTCCCACTGACTTCAATAACACCAAAAGCCAGTACTAGATCTCCAAAATGGTTATTATTCTCTTCAGAGCACTATATTCATTTCCTATCTACCCCCTGCAGAAGGATGATGGTCTCTTGGCTTTCCAATAATATTGCCTCATAGAAAAGCATCTCGGACTGCCAGGACTAATCTAATGTCTATGACCACCTGAGGAATACATTTTGAATTCAACATATAACCCAAAGAAGAGAAAAGAATCAAGCCCTGTGGAAGAAGAAAGAGGCCTCAATAATAACCTTGTAACTAACAAATACAAGTCATTGCCATATTTTAAGGAAATCTTGTACAAGCATCTATTGCCCTCTGCACAATAAATATCTAAGATTCACAGAATAATATTTGCTTTTATATATACAAGTAGTTACTTAGATATTTAGCAAGAAATTGCTATTAGAAGTGACCTAAAAAGAAGAATTTCAATCAATTGGAAAACTATACTCTGAAAGTGATGCAGAAATAAATTTTGATCCTCTCTGGATTAAAAAAAAAAGCGAGCTTTGTTACACAATTAAAACCACTTGCTGTATGTTTAAGCATAAAAATTGCATGTGGCTTTTTTTGGAATTAGCAGGAGAAATGAGTGTCACTGAACAGAAAAAAGACATTAAAAGGAGTTATGTAGTTAATAGTCTTTTAATTAAAATTAACAAAAGTAACAAGACAGAACCCGCACTTTTCAAGTACCTTTCTTCTTGAAGTCACTTAGAAGCAGTCAGAGTAAGCAAAAGTATTTACTTCATAAATATAGTAAAAAGGAAAAGCCACAGATCATCTTCACATACTCAGGCACTTTAGTCTTGACCACGGTATGCAGTTTGAAACCCATGTTATACCAAATCCATTAAGAACCTACTAATTATGCCTTCCTCTTAAGTGAGCTGACAGCACACCTGGCAGCCACTTGCTGGAACAAGCTTCACACAGAAAGCAATAGCACCTGATTCCTAGTGTATAGGCTGGAATTCAGTTAAAGTTGCCTTGCCTGCTACACGGTAAAGAACAACTTCACCTCAGTAGTTACAGGTGCTACTTATTTGTCTGATGAGGAAGGCATTCTTCTAGGAAGACACACATGGGCCCTGAATCTGGGCTTTGCAATTCAACAGTTGTTTGCACAGAAATCATTAGAGCACAGAAGGATTTCCACTTAAAATGGGAAGCTCTATTCAATTGCCTGTCATTCCCTTCCCAGTGCAAGCATGTTCAAAATCCACCAGTGAAGCTATATAGAAATGCAACAGATGTCCGGTCCTACATGCAACATTTTATACTGTCTTTGGATCTCCACTTGGAAATCAGCAACAGGCAAGAGTTCAGGTTATGTGCCTTTTTTTTTTTTTTTTCAAAAAAGGGCTACTGAAAAACAAACTTAAATCCATAGGACAAGAGACCATTGCTAACTGGCCACGGAAGAGGCAATACAAACCATTAACATATCTCCTTTGGAAAAAGAAAGCATTAATACTTTAGTTATTGTTCAGCTAATTTAGTTACTGTCCATGCTACTGACAGCATTCATCAAGAAAGTTTCTGCAGCAATATTGCATATATGCATTTTCTACTTTTCCATATCAACAAGCACATTTCACAGCACCCTGCCGAAACATCCTTCTGCACTGAGGTACTCTTAGCCCTGAGCCTTTGTACATTTTACATGTTTCCTTACTTACACAATTGCAGTATAGGTGCCCCTAGTTTTCTCTTTCTTTGCTGAATAAGGTTGGAAAGATAAAGCAGTTGGCCTTTCTTGAGCAGCTGCTTCACAGAACATTGCAGGTAGAAAGATAACTTAATTCCATACAATTTTTATAGAAGTTAATTACTAAACAAATCAAGTTTCCCCTCCAAATAGATAATATGGATACCAAATAAAGAGAAATTCACAAGTAATTTGCAAGTACTGTACCGCCCTCTGCAGTCAATGTGTAAGATCTGCAAAACTAACCTGTGCACATCTTGTGAAGATCGGTAATAGGTCAATAATAAAACCTCTACAAGTCGAAACACAGCAGAAGTAACATTTTAATGATTCTGTCTTACTTGTTGGAATCATAGGAACATAACACAGAATTTTTTAAATTTTTCATATAATTCATCTGCCTATTAAAGGATGTGGAAACATGTTTTGCTGCTGTTTAAGAATGGGTCAGATTCCTCACTGATACTTCTGGCATTTACTTTCTTGGACCTTGACAGAAATTTGCAATGCCCCATCTGAGAATTTTTCTGGATTACTTCTAAGTAATATCAAAGATAAACCGGATTTTTTAAAAGTTGTACTAACTGATCCATCAATGACAAAGAAGTATATTTTACAGTTGTCCTGGTTTGAGGTAAAACAGAACCAACTTTCTGTTCAGTAATTTTACTTTACCTAAGCCTCTTCTAACTCTCAGAAATTAACAGCATATTGTGCAGAAAACATTGCATTCTCAGAGTGATAAGGCCTACGTTTACAGTTAAAGCCAAGGAATGGTACGCAGAGAAGCTCTTGCTTATACTTATTGCTATAACAACCAGAGTCAGCAACCCCATTGGAGGGTCAGAAACAGAAAAGCATAGAGTGGTCACACCTGCAGGGAGAAGCGGACAGGACAGGAGACCCAAAACTGACCAACAGGGTATTCCATCCCATCTGCCCCACCCTCAGTATAAAAGCTGAGGCATCAGAGAGGACGCTGTCTGTTCATTTGCCTTTGATGCCAGTCGGTGTGTTCCGGACTCCAGATTTAGAATCCAGTTCCCATCTGTCCCAGTCTAGTCTGGGACTTCCTGGGTGACTGCCAGTGACAGACATAACCCTGGGAGCTTGATACAGTTTTCTATATATTGCATCTATTTTATTATTTTCCTTTTATTTTGTGATTAATATTTCTTTAAAGTAGCTTAGTTCCTTCTAAACTCATAAATCTCTGTATCCTGCCTCCTCTTCTCCTTGGAGGGAAAGTGGGGTAGAGCATCCATCATCTCATTCATTGGCCAGTTCAGCCAAAACCATGACAACAGTTTAGATATTGCACTACTTTGTTTAACACAACTTAGAACCTTAATAGGGCATTTTGCTCGGACTAGATATGTGTTTAACTTTACTCAAACAATAAAAGTTCTTCGTCAATTTAATTATAAGCAATTAAGAAGACTGTTCTCTAGAGCAGGTTTTATACACATGATGAGAGCCCTGGATATTAACATAACTTTGAATACCTGTTCAAGTAGGTAGCACTGTAGCACATAATACCTGAAGAGACAACAAAAGCATACAGCACTCTACTACTAAATTTGTGTTGTAAAGCAAATGTCCAGTAACTAAATTAATAAAAGGTAGCAGGTTCTTCCTCTGTTATGTAACATTTCTCCTTCACGTTTTAGATTTTGAATACTGTTGCAAATGGAAGTTACTCACATTATGGACAGCTGTCTCCTTGACGCTGATAGCATCACATGGCAGAACTGTTTTCTACCAGAAGCCCTTCACTCCAACTTAATTTACACCTGCTTTTTTTTCTTTGGATCTGTGAACACAATTTTTTAAAGCAATTATCAGATTTGACAAAAATTTTCTCCTCCTAGAAGAAAAAAAAAACTTTGTACAGTGTAATATATCACCACTAAAATGCAGATTAAACTGCATTTTCTAGTGCATGCAATCAAAGCGGTGAAAGCAAATGAATGCCACTTTTAAGTCAAAATTAAGCTTTTGAAGATCCGTTCTTCCGCTCCCGGCAGACAGCGGAAAGATTCTTGTACTACAAACGTTCGAGACAAGAGTACTAACTTTAATTTCATGGCTGTGGGTCAGGAGGAAAGATAATAAGCTGGATGAGCCCTAAGAGCTCGGGCAGGTTGCTGGGGATCCCCACTCTGCAAACTCACCGCATCTGTTGGGCCGGGGGAAGCCAGGCTCCCCCCCACAAGAGCGGCAGGTCCCTCAGAAGGAGCCGCTGAGGAAGGCTGAGGGGGCCGGCAGCCTGGGCGGCTTCCCCGGGGGCGCGCGGCGCCGCGAACGGTTTCAACCGCCGGCCTCCGGCGCGCGCGGGGCTCCGCCAACGGTTCCAACGGCCTCCCTCAACCACGCCCCTCAAGGACCCCAAGCTACAGAGGGACGGCACGAGCCACTACCCCTTACCCCGACACAAAACCCGCTGCCGGCCCACCCCTTCCGGCACCGCCCCGCCGGGCGTCCCGAGCAACGGCGGCGGGTTTACCTCAGCGACGCCCGGCCGTTGCTGCGCGACGAGCGGAGCCGGCGGCGGCTAAAGGGCAGGTTGGTGCCCCCTTCTCGGCCCGCACCCCCCCCGGCCAGGCAGTATCCGGGCCTGAACGAGACCCTTACCCGCCTCAGCAGCCTCCGATGAACGCCAAGGGGTAAGGCAAGGGAGCTGATCAGCCACCAGGACTGAGAAAGAACTTCTGTGAGCCCCAAGCACCCCGCCAAGACCCCCCACCGATCACAAGACTAAAGAGGAGGTGTAGGCCAGACCTGCGCACCGGGACAAGCCCCACACAGATCACAGGCCCGAATTCAACATCTCTGTCATCCACGGAGAGGAGAAGATGACTCTTACAAGCTACAGGTGCCAGAAATAAACATCAGCCGGAGATAGGCACTGAGACAAGACTCTCACCAGGCACAGCAATGTATCAGCCACATACGCTAGGACTGGAGCCTTACCAATCACTGGAACCAAAAAGTGCCTATCCGAGATACGTAGAAGAACAAGATCCCTACGAACGTGGCCATGGCCCCTATCAGCCCCATGAACCAGGTTACGGTCTTTATCAGCCAGGATACGGTCCATATGATGATCAGATACCCGATCCCACATCCCAAACGCTGGCAATTGAGAATGCAAAAGCCTATTTACTGAAGAGCAGCACAACATCTGGCCTGAACTTGTAAGTGCGAAAAAGGGACACAATTGAAAGGGTAGGAAGTATGAGTGGAGAGAAAAATAGTGCTGGTAAAAGGGTAAAAGGTTATGTTAAGAAAGGGAGGGATACCAGGAGGGTATATATAGAATGGGAGGATGTTATAAATGCTTAGGTCATCACTATGTCATACTTGTGTGTGTCCAACATCTTTCAGAATCAAAATTCCTAAGGGAATTTATAGAGTTCAAAGGGAAACTGGTTTGCTTAAGAGCAAGTTTAAATTCAGCTTCAGCTCCTGAGGCAGTTGTGGTATGTGCCAAAGATGGAAGATGGGACTACTCCTAAGTATGTTACAATCAGACTACTTTCAAGTCTAATTTCCCATAATGCTCTATGATTCCCTCTCATCTAACTATTGCAAGAATTTCTCCAAAGCTCCAGGCGATTAGCTTCTACTTTTGATATTAAAACATAATATCCTAAGACTTTTGTACAGTCGGTCAATAATATTTACAATTATGTGACAGATATGATCATCTTGCCAATATGCTAACAAAGATCCTGGATGAACAGCCCACAAATGCAGTAGACATCATTGAGAATATCAGCAAGGATGTGAAATGGGCTCAGTTTCGGAAAAAAATGGACACCCTTCGAGATGAACATGAGATTCTTCCAACATTTGAAGCTGCAGAAAAGCGTAAAGCTTTGTTCCTCAAGCCAAATGGAGAAGGAGATGAAGAATTAGACGAAGAGATAGTGAGTTATTATCAGAGAAAAATAGATATTGTATATACCAGGGAATTGGGGGAGGGGGAAGGGGAAGGGGAAGGGGAAGGGGAAGGGGAAGGGAGGAAGTTGTGGTCTCCTTTGTACTATAGCCTCTCATGATCATATAAATAATTGCAGTCACAGTACCATGTACCTTCTTCGTATTTGTGAAGAAGAAACCCCATCTGGTTACTTAGTTGGGATTTTTTCCTGTAGTAAAACTAATATTCTAAGCCTTTAAAATCACAGATGTTCTAGAGATGATTAACAGATAAAGTTTACAATATCTCCCATATGCCAGTTCAGCATGGAATATTGCATCCAAATTTCTTTACTTTATCTAAAAGTGACATTTCTTTACCTAAAGTGACCATAATTCTGGACACTGGTTTGAGAATATTGTGCACAGCTGCTACTATAAAATAGAGAATGGAGAATTTCGTGATCCTTCCAGCTCCAGCTGTGGTTCCAGTCTATTCTTCTCCAACTAAAAAAAAAAATGGTTGTAATGAAGAACTGCTAGAATTGAAAAGCCACTTCTTAAAATAGGGTATTTTTCAGAATTCAGTTACTTATATGCAGAAGCATTTGTACCCAATGAAAATTAAGAGGATTCTTGTAATAGCCAAGGGAAACTAATCAACAAGATGTTGATTTTCATATGATGTTACCACTATATATTCAAATTAATTGCCATTGCAGAATACAAATATTAACAACAGAAGACAGTCTTTCAACTTTTCCATAGCCTATTATTTATTTTACAGTAAGAGTATATGATGGTAAAAATGGAAAAAAAGTAGGGTATTTCAGAAAGGAATTTAGAATTTTTCATAGTCTTGTCTGTCTTGCTTTGATACAAGGAACCTGGAAGGGCCAAAGGAATTCAATAGGAAACTAGCACTACTTTCAAATTCCCTACCCTGCCGTATAGAACTTTTAATATCTTCATCTGTGTGATATAATCACCTTACCCCCATGAGATGATAAAGCAAATGGAAATATTTAATGAAATCTTCATTATTGGTCTAGTTCTGCTTCCCTGAAAGCCAGTTGGAGTCTTACTATGCACTTCAGTAAGAGCAGAGGCCAGTATTTTTAAAAATGCAGAGAGCTTTATTCCCAGGTTTTCAAAAGAACAACATTCACTCCAGAGAATATTGCTGGTCTGGTGTCTAAATATATAAAATATGTGTTATATTTTCCCCAAATGCATCTGTCACAAACATAGGGGAACACGGTGACACCGTTTGTGGGCATCAAGGCCCCTTACGTAGCTGTCATGCCCTAGCACTGAAGTACGTTGTAGATCCTGTGCAATAATTTTTACTTTCTTTATTTTGCAGTAATTAGGAGTTTGAATTTTGAAATCCTGTATTCTAAAAGCTGCAGTTCTCTTCTTTACCTTTAAAATGGCATTTTTAATTTTTCTAAATGATAGTGGAAGGAGTAGTGAATAATTGTCTGCAAAGCACTTGGCGAGAATGAGTGGCACTACAGGAAAGTGAAGTGTAACATTCAGTGGATAACATGTTTAATTTTTCAAAAAGATAATTATAATATTCTTCAGCTCTGACTCCAGATCTTCTTCCCAGGGAGAGAGCCCTCTACCTAATGTGATGGAAACAGCCTTTTATTTTGAACAAGCTGGAATAGGCTTGAGCAAAGATGAATCTTACCATATATTCCTTGCCCTTAAAAAATTAATTAGTGTTCAGCCAGTCCAGACCTGTCGCTTCTGGGGCAAAATTCTGGGCCTAGAGATGAACTATATTATAGCTGAAGTACAGTACCTTGAGGGGGAAGAGGAGGAGGAAACAGAAGAGGAAGAAGTTCCTGAGGAAAGAGGGAAAGAGGTGGATGAGGATGAAGATGAAGAGGAGAAAGAAAAAGAATATGAACCACCAGTGTCCACCTATAAGCCCCCACCTGTCATCCCAAAAGAAGAAAATGGGACTGGGGCTAATAAATACGTCTACTTTGTCTGTAATGAGCCAGGCAAACCCTGGGTGAAGTTGCCTCCAGTGACACCAGCCCAGATTGTCTGTGCCAGGAAAATCAAGAAGTTCTTCACTGGTAGGCTGGACGCTCCTGTTGTGAGCTTTCCTCCTTTCCCTGGAAACGAGGCCAATTACCTGCGTGCACAGATAGCTCGGATCTCAGCAGGAACCCAGATCTCTCCCATTGGATTTTACCAGTTTTCAGAGGAAGAAGGAGATGAAGAGGAGGAGATGGAAGGAGGAAGAAATATATACGAAGAAAACCCCGACTTTCAGCCTCTTTCTGTGGCTGAAATGGTGGATTCTCTCTCCGCGTGGGTACACAATGTACAGAGTATTCTAAAGCAGGTATGTTCTTCTATATGACGTTTTCTCTTTGAGGTTCTTAATTGACAAAATATTTTAAATTGTCTTTTCTTGAGTAGACAAGATAAAATGCAGATAAAATGCAGATAGCTTATGATTGTACGCTAAATGGAACTTACTTTATGTTTTCTTCTGTTTAATTTTTTGTTACTTACTTTCTTCTGCAAAATGAGCAAATGAAAAAGCTTAAAACTAAAATATTGTAAATAAAATTGCAGCATTGAATATTTGTGCTATCAGACTAGTGCTGGAAAGAGGTACTACTAATGTGACAATCATTGCTAGATGACTTGCTGGCCAGTTTACCAATTCAAGAACGCTAGTGTAAAATAACAGCAAATGGTAGGAAATACGGTTTAAAATGATTACCAGAAAAAAAAAAAATTGTAAAAATAAAATCTATATGCATTAGAATCTTAAGAACATTTTGTTAATGTTAACTCCTCTGACTGGTAGCTAAATATCAAGGTGGACTTTAAAAAGAAGGGGCAAAGTCCATTAGTGGTAGCTTCTTAGCTTGCAGTAACTGGTAATCTATCCAGGATACAAACCCAAGTGGGAGGAATTGAAGACTACAAAATAACAAAAAGCTGATGACAGAGATATGAGGTTATTCTGAAATAGGAACATGAATGAGGGAGGAATGAGGGATATAGGGAACACTCTGCCAAGAGGATACAATATTCTGCCAACAATATGTCAATTATGGAATATGTATTTTTCTTTTCTTCCCCCTGTCCCTTAACTGTGCGTGCATGTGCTCAAGCCAATTGTTTTAACTGGCTCACATTCCTTCAGTGACTGTTACATGTATTTATTATTTTTCTGTATCAATTATAGGGTCGCTGTGTTTGGCTTAATCCTCTTCAAAAATCAGAGGAAGAAGAAGAAAACGAAGAGGAGGAGAAAGAAGAGGAGCCAGAGGAATTACCGCAAGAACTACAGCAAGAAATAGGACCTCCTCTTCTCACTCCACTCTCTGAAGATGAAGGTATTCTTCATGGAATATGAAGTCTTTCATAGAGAGCTACTAGGAATGTTAGCATTTAGGTAGCAAATATTTGAAGTTACAGGACTCTGGCACTTCATGGAGCAATAAAATTTGCCCCTGCAGGATAAGCACATCCTTTTACAAAACTGATCAAAAGCAAAATGGTTAACAGTATTGACATTAAAATTTAAATAATTGGGTTTACTAATTAACAGTCTCGTTGAGAATAAAAGGAAAAAATACCTCAGACTTGTTAGGCTACTGCAAGTTCAAGACAGCTCATACATGAAATATGTTCTGCTATTTTTCCATCATCTTTTTAGACAAAAAAAAATGTGTGTGCACATGTAATATATGTACACACATACATAGATATACAAATAAGAATTTAGATCCTGTAGCACATTACTGCAGCAAATCATGGGAATATGGGAATTTGAATATTAGATTACATCAATAGTAAACTATTTTCCTACTCACTATTCTTCGATTAAGCTGAAATATAACTATATGACTTCTCCATATGTGATAAAAAGTCCTTGACAAAAGAAAGAAAGGTGAGTACTACTGAATTTCAGGAGCATGATCTTCTCTGTATGTGGCTGTGTTAGCACTCCAGTGCTACCTACCTATACACCTAAACCACCTCTTGGAATACAGCACCGACATTTGTTTATGACTTTTGGCTCTTCTAACATGCAACTTACTCCAGCTATTGCTTGAATTCTATGAAAGTCTTGTAGCTCCGTTTGGGCATATTTTGTAGAGGCTCATAAGCCAGTTTTTTCTTTGACTCTGAGCGTTTGGCTGCCTCCAGGAATTCAAAACATCCCTGCTTGGACAGCTCAGCCTTCTACAAACCTGATCCCGCAACACGCTGTGGCAGTTCTCCAGTCCAACCGATGGCCCGGAGCGTATGCCTTTGCATCTGGCAAGTGAGTAGCTAGTTGACATGGTTACAACCGAGACTGTAACACAGACACCTCTCTAATGAAGTCAAAGCTGCTTATTATTAATTCACTATATTAATTCTTTATATCTAACTGTTCCAGAGACTGATGGAGGCACAGCAACAGTAAATATGTATTCAAGACTGAATAATCATTGGAAAGGCTAGTATAAAGTTAATGGATGTAAATGTCCAGTTAGTATTTGGGCATGGCCCTTGATATAAAACCTATATTCTTCAGTCTGTGGTACTTTTTACAAAAACAGCTACATTCTGGGATTCTAATGTTCATTTGTTTCCACTACACATGGTATCGTCACAACCTCTACTTGCTAAAAGCAGGCAGCACTGGAGTTGGTGTCAGAAATGGCTTTATGTTACCAACGTGAGGTTGGAGTTGTGCTGCAACACAATGCAGTGACAGTGCACAGCCTTCATCATTTTAACATTTGGAGATTTTTAAGTGGAAGATATAATCAACAATTAGAGCAGTTAAAAAGAGGCACCTTCTTTTAAATATTTTTGTTATTGGACACCACAGTGTCTTTTTGCAGAGCAGAATAAGGGAGCCTGACAGCACCTCCACTGATGTTTTGTTGTGGGGTAGGGGGAAGAGAATGTGTGATCTCTTGCTTTTCTTTCTCAGGAGATTTGATAACATCTACTTTGGCTGGGGTCACAAATACAGCCCAGAGAACCACATTCCCATACTGCCTCCACCAGCACAAGCAGAGTACCCCAGCGGGCCAGAAATCACCGAGATGAGGGACCCCACCGTGCAGGAGGAACTGGCTTTCAAGGCTGCCAAGGAAGAGGCCTTAGCTGCAGCTGAGGAAGAGGAAGAGGAAGAAGAAGAGGAGGAAGCTGCTGAGGACGAAGAGGACGATGATTAAAACACAGAAATACAAGGGGGGAAGAAATGTATTTTAAACGTTTGAACACTAATAGTCTTTTCATAAATAAATCATTAATTAGTTGATGTTAGAGGAAGGGAATTAGGGCACGCCTTCTTTTTTGATGTCTGTAGGCTCCTCTCCACAGCTCCACACCCCGAGTCCACCACGCTGGTGTCAAGCCAGCCTTGCCTCACTGGAGGACACCACCAAGAATCACAGAATCGCATGGAGTTGGAAGGAACCTCTGGAGATCATCTAGTCCAACCCCCCTGCCAGAGGAGGTCCACCCAGAGCAGGTTGCACAGGAACGTGTCCAAGCGGGTTTTGAATGTCTCCAGAGAAGGAGGCTCCACCACCTCCCTGGGCAGCCTCTTCCAGGGCTCTGCCACCCTTAAAGTGAAGAAGTTCCTCCTCATGTTTAGGTGGAACTTCTTATATTCAAGGTTGTGCCCTTTTCCTCTTGTCCTGTCACTGGGCACCACTGAAAAAAGACCAGCCCCATCCTCCTGACACCCACCCTTTAAGTGTTTATAGGTGTTGATCAGATCCACCCTCAGCCTTCTCAAGACTAAAAAGCCCCAAGTCCCTCAGCCTCTCCTCATAAGAGAGATGCTCCAGGCCCCTCATCATCTCTGTAGCGCTCTGCTGCCCCCTCTCCAGCAGTTCCCTGTCCTTCTTGAACCGGGGAGAAGGCAAAAAGTCTGTCTCCTTCCTAAAACAATACAGCTTTCAACTAACTACCGACCAACGCGCCTTCGCCTTGCTTTTCTAACCAGCGCTTCAATACCTTCCCAAATTTTACTTACACCAAAAAAAACCCCAAACCCGTAAATACAGAACAATGTCACTTTTAGCTGTGAAATCATGCTATCGGGTTGGGTAGGCTGCGAATTAAATCACCCGCCGGACGCACCGCAACGACTCCGCTGACGGCCGCCTTCCCGCACTTCCCGCACCGCCCGCCCCTCAGCCCCGGCCGGCACCATCGCGGCACTCGCCACAGACGGGGGGGGTGTCGCGGGAGCGAGCCGGAACCATTCGGCCATCTCTCCCTCTCTACGCTTTCCCCGCTCCCCCCATCTCTTGGCTAGTGGTACGCTCTGCCGCGGCGTCAGCCCTGCGCGGGCCAATAGGAAGCGACCTGGGGAGAAGTTCAAACTCCGGTGGCGGTTGGGTCGCTGGGTTGTTCGCCGGGGTGCGGGCGAGGAGCGGGGAGAGCGGCTTCTCTTCCTCAGGCGGCGTGTGCCCTAAAGCTGCGGGGATGGGGGACGAGGGAGCCGTGACCGTCTGCGTGCGTGTGCGGCCGCTCATCGCCAGGTGAGGCTCCCTCCGGGCGGGAGGGCCGCACCCCAGCGCCCTGCCTGAGGGGAGGCTGCGGTGTGGCCTGCGGGCCCCCTCAGCTTCCCCGGGCGTTGCTGTGCCACCGTCCCCTCCCCAGGCTTCGGCTAGGGCCCCGGGAGCGCCGCTGCCGCTCTATGAAGAGGGGAGCAAGGCGAGGGAGTCAATGCGCCGTCCTTCCCTACCGGGGCTGGTGGGAGCCTGAGGGAGAGAGAGGCCCTCGGGGGAGGGGGAAGGCCGGCGTCTCAGGAGCCGAGCCCTAACCCCGTAAGGTTAACAGAATATCTCTTCTTTTAGAGAAAACGCTCTCGAAGATAAAGCGTCAGTCCAATGGAAAAGCGAAAATAATACTATTTCTGAAGTAAACGGTACAAAAGTATTCACTTATGGTAAGAATATGAAAGCAATTATTTTGATGCTTGTGTGGACCTTTGTTACTGTGCTACTTGGATGTATCAACTAACATTAACAACCCTAGCTTTTTGCAACTTCCATGAATTTTTTTTCCAACTCAATAATTTTGAAGGGGTGTGTCCTGGGTTGAGCGACACAGGACTAACTTCTGTTCTGATGCCTGGGAGAATGACTATTTTTGAAGACTGAGTTTGTGAAAATATTTACTTTATAGCCAGCTAGGCTATGTGGGATTCAAGGTCTCTGTGTTTTTGAGCCTTGCTGGGTGCAGGGAGGAGGAGTGAGGCCTGGGCATTTGACTGAGGCTGGCTGACAGGATTGTTTCATACTATGAATGCCACGTTCAACATAAACTAGAAAATTTGCTGCATAGTTCTCTCTTCCTCCTGAAGCACTTGTCCTCGCTGTCTCACATTTGCTGTCCACTGCTGGAAGGGCATGGCTTCCTACTGATAGAATTAGCTGAGTATAATTCTTATATGTTTTATATTGGTATCTGGATCAATACTACTACTTTAGTATTATTGTTAATTACTTAGTATTATTGTATTAAATCTATTTATATTTCAATCCTCGTGTTTCCTTGTTTTCCCGGGTTGGGAGGGTCATTGGGTGATAGAATAGTTGCCTAAATGACAATAAAATTGTTACACATTTTCTCAAACCATAACAGAGTGCCATTGGGGCAGCAGGGTTTCAGTCAGTAACAGGGATGTGCTTTTGAAGTCAGCTTCCTGATGGATGGTGCTCTCTGTTCTGGATCACGCTGTAAAAGTGTTTTTGGAATTTGAATTGTCTAGGTTGGAAGGGACCTTTTAGATCGAGTCCAAACATCAACCTAACACTGCCAAAATGACCTCTAAAACAAACCATGTCCCTAAGCACCACATCTCCTCATCTTATGAATGCGTCCACTACCTCCCTTGGCAGCCTGTTCCAATGGTTGATAACCCTACGAGCTGGATTCTTTTCATATGAATTCCAGTCACAAATAGACTAGAGTAGGGCTGGTCCAGAACACTGAGGGAGAAGGGGCTAGGGGAACCCAAACACGAAATCAAAAAGTGCCTAGTGTGGATGTTAGATGCTTATAACTAACTTCCTTGCTTTGAGTCTCTTCCTACTGATCTGCTCGTTAATATGAACGTAGCCACTACAAAATTTTTTCCCAAACTATAGATTCAATGAAAACGTGCTCCAAGCTAGGAGTTCAACAAGTAGCACGTATTGTCAGGTTTACAATCCCTGCAGATAAATTAGCTATAACTGGTTTTGGGATTAAATGGGATGACTATGTAACTGTGTCCATTGTTCTTAGGGTTTTTTCTGTTTGCCATTTCTATTTTGGTTCTGGGTTTAATATTTCTTTTATTAAAAAACCCCAGCCTGTGTTAGTAGTGTCACAATTATATTTTATGTTTGAATTATCATACAAGCATTCTGATGCCCATTTATTGGATTTGAAGTCAACGATATTGAATAATGTCACAGCTTGGTTTTGGCTTGCAATACAATGGATTCACATGCTTTATTTCAAATTATTTTTTTTAAGATCGTGTCTTTCACTCAAATGACAACACTCAGCAGTTATATGAAGGTGTTGCTGTTCCAATTATAGAGTCAGCTGTGCAAGGTTATAATGGTAAGTTTTAAATTTGTGTTTGAATCCTGTTTGTAATGTATTGCTTAAGCCATTAGTAAAATTCAACCATCTTTCTAGGCACAATTTTTGCTTATGGACAGACTGCTTCAGGGAAGACATACACAATGATGGGAAATGAAGATTCTGTGGGCATTATCCCTAAGGCAATTCAACATGTTTTCAAAGTTATTTGTGAGGTGAGCGGCTCCGTTAAATTCAAATTTCTGAAAGGACCACTGATAATTGTGATTGTTACATAAAAGTTAATTTTAGTATCAAGGAGCTTATGAACAAAACAAATTTCTAGTGGACTATGTGTTGCTTTGCTAGCCTTGTGAAGTTGAGTGGTTTAAAAAAAATATAATGGGACACTACTAGTTGAAATCAAATCAGAACAAAACTGAGGAAGGTTATTAAACTTGCAAATATGCTAAACCTTGTTTATAAATGTAAATAGATGCTTACCCATTAATGTGGGAGATAAGGTAATGTAAAGCTTTGTGTTTATTCTGCTATTTTAAAACTTTAAAGAATTAACAGTATTAAAGACTTCTTAGTGGGAAGAATATGACACTAAATTTACTTATTTCAGGCTTTCAAAAGAATCATAGGCTAATTGTTCAATGCTAATAGGAAGTAAGGAGAAGGTGTAAGTTAAAGCAGTGATTTCTAAAACACAAATCTGCAGAGCACTTGCTTCTGCCTCGAGGATTTCAGGTAATTGTTATCAGTTGTGTGAAGTGGTCACTGCTCCTTTGAGGAGGTGCAGAGTGCCCTCGGGGGTCTATAGGGGTAACTGAAGCCAAGAGATCTTTCTGTGGTGCTGTAGTCCTTGAGTCCATTTTGTAGCCTTTCCTCATCCCAGTATTCCCTACCAGGGAGGCAGGGGAAGAAGCAGCAGCAAAGTATATCTAAGCAAGCAGAGAGAGAAACTAGGAACACTGAGAGGAGTGAGCCTAGGCAGGAGGAAAGTAGATATGGAAAGGGCATTTAAGTGGGAGAACTACTGTCATGCTCCTGTAGGGCAGTTATCTTACTCTTAGAACCTACTAAAAGTGATATACAATTAATGCAGCTGGAAGGAAGTGGGATAGAAGAAAAATGATTCAATATTGTTAGATGCTAATGCGCAAAGATGATGTGGGGTGGGAGAAATCTGTGGAATGATATCCAAACGTATACCTTTGAGTTAGGGTTAATGCTTTGCATTAAAAGGTTTTCATGGCATAGTCATATTTTTTTATTTTTTATTTGTTTTTCCCTTTGGACATTAGATTCCAGAGAGAGAATTCTTGCTAAGGGTTTCTTACATGGAAATCTACAATGAAACTATTACGGATTTGCTTTGTGATATCAGGAAAAAGAAGCCTCTGGGAATTCGTGAGGATGTTAATGTAAGTGGATGTTAATTTAGTGTAAGTATTGTATCTGCTTAATGTTAAAGAAGTCGTTTTAAAAAAAAAAAGCCTTCAGAGGTATCTAGGTGAAAACTTTTCTGTGTCAAATTAGGTAATTTTTATCTTCAGAATTAGCAGGAGGATACTTAGTGTAGTAGAATAAACACAATGAAGTTGGGATTGCTGTTACTGATTTATCTTTATAAATGGTGTAAAAGTAGACAATCTCTGAAGTTATCCAGACTAGTATATTTTATTTACCTTTGACAGTGAATACTTGGAATTGTCTAGTTAATACAACTTCTACAAACATGATATTAAGCCTCTAGCTCAATGTGTTAGAAATCTTCAACGGATATACAGAGTTACTTGCATGCCATCTTCATGTCAGCTACAAAGTAGACACGCTTTTATTCTATTGTAGTCAGAGAATAACCATCAGACTACAACTATTTAGTAAGATGATCAGTAGGGAAAAATAAATCTATGTTAATGCCATCCTCAGTATCTTTATATTAAGTTTTGTAGCAAATAATAAAAATTAGTAGTTTGGGATTTGTAGTTGTGTGGTTTTGGTTTTTTTCTTTCAATGTCCTAAATGATCAATGCTTTTGGAACTTGGGAAGAACGGATTTTTATCAGTTGTATGATTATGGTCACATAGCAATTACTGAGAAATATACTCCTACATTCCCTCAGAAAAGGTCCAGAAGGATATTTCCCTTACCAGTTTTGTTTTAAGGAAACTTTCTAGATCTCTGTTATTCGATTTTTATCAGAATGGCTGCCAGAAGGCACCAAAAAAAAAATAAAGGTCTAAACATTGCCCATTCCTTGTGTTCAGACTGAAAAAACATTCAACTGATGTTGCTTCCATTTAAGGAGGAAGCAAACTGGAATAAATACCATAATTGCTGGTAATGCTAATGTAATGCATTGAAGTTATTTTCAGAGTTAAGTAAAACTTATTCTTGTTTTTGTTCTTAAGAGAAATACATATGTAGAAGATCTGATTGAAGAGGTGGTGGTTTCCCCAGAACAAGTTATGCAATGGATTAGAAAAGGAGAAAGTAAGTTGTTCAACCAATGTCAACTGATATCTTAGAAATGTGTTGGTGAATGGGATGTATCTAGAATCATAGAGTATCTCTATGTTTAGAAATCAATGTTTTTCAGATATTTTTACAATTGCTTTTTTGTATGTTACCTCCAATTTATCAGAGTATAAGTAAAAGTATTCTAATATTGCTTTTTGACAGAAAATCGCCATTATGGAGAAACAAAAATGAATGAACACAGCAGCCGCTCTCACACTATCTTCAGAATGGTAAAAACTTTTTCACTATTAGGAGGGATTTTATTATTTTTGAAGTGACAAAAACTATTGCATCCTCTTCTTCTAGATCATTGAAAGCAGAGAACGAAGTGACCCTGCGAATGCGAACTGTGATGGAGCAGTGATGGTATCTCACTTGGTAAGCTGCACTCCAAGAACTTATTAAATAGGCATTTAAGTTGAGAATTTACTGTTACCAGTTGTTTGAAAGAATTTTACTTTATAATGACATTACAAACGTGCTTTGTTGTTAACTTAAGCAGAAATCCTGTTTCTGATCATCTGTACAGAAGGAGATTCCTGGGATGTATCTAGAGTGTATCTTCCCACCAAAGAGAATTCTGACATGGGAATAGTTCCTCGACAATTCATGCTGGGTTGGGGACTGTCAGCTCCTTCTGAGGAACATAACAGGCTATTGTTGGAGCCTTCTTGCATTTTGTTAAACACAGCTTCCCCTACAATTGCTCCTGACTACTGACAAGCCCAGTGAAATAACTAATAAAAGTGAGGGCTGCTTGCTCAGGCAAATCATTATGGGATGCTATAAAGTTCTAGTTGACTTTGAACCAGATTCAGAGTGAGGCTTTTCTTCTGGTGTTTAATTTCTTCATTTTCTTATGACACAATGCCAGGCACAGAGACATAAAGCTGATTCAGGACAGGGTGCTAAATAAGCCCATCCAGACTCTCTTCCCGTGAAAGATTGGATCAGATGATCTGTGATTCTGTGAAGCTTCTTATGGCTTGAATCGGTAGTTAATACTTCTGTATTGAGAAATTGTTTCTCTCTTTTTGTTACTGAGGATAGGGGGAATTGCACTGCAAGTCTGAAATATTTTCAGGGTGGTGTAATAGAGTTCATACAAACTTGTTCTATGTCCATGTATTGGTTGGTATGTGCGCAGTAGCTATGGATTGCATCCAGTAATGACAGACCTCTTGTTTTTTTCTAAGTGTAAATTTACTTTACAGAATTCTTAGAGATTTAGAATTAAGAGGATCTAATACTAAATTGTCTCAGAACTAACTTATGAAATATTTAATGAATTTGCAGAACTTGGTAGATCTGGCAGGCAGTGAAAGAGCTAGTCAAACAGGATCTGAAGGTGAGTGTTAAATGAGTCTCTCCTGATGACTCGCCTCTGTTAATTAACACCTATGGGAGACTTATGAAAGGAAATTATTTGATCTATGTGCTATTCTGTTACTTACTGTTTATAAATAATCCCTTTTCCCCTTGGTAGGGCAGGATCTACTTGGAAAAATACTGAAAATGCTGTTAAGTGCAAACAATTAGATAGTAATATGGCTTTTCTAGAATAGCAGAGTCAGCAACAGTCAGGCACTGAACTAATTGACTGAAAAGGAATAAGTACATATTCTCCTGTAGTAAAGAAATCATTAGAAGCTTGTAGGGACTCATGTAAAGTGAATATATGGCTCATTCTTTAGCTAATAGGAAGCTGTATTGATAAGTGACAGTATAAAGCTGCACAAAAATGCCATTAAGGTTAAAAAAAAAAGATATCTGAGAGGAACACAAGTCAATATTCTCTCTTACCAAGTTTGTGCCCTTTTCCTCTTGTCCTGTCACTGGGCACCACTGAAAAAAGACCAGCCCCATCCTCCTGACACCCTCCCTTTAAGTATTTATAGGTGTTGATCAGATCCACCCTCAGCCTTCTCAAGACTAAAAAGCCCCAAGTCCCTCAGCCTCTCCTCATAAGAGAGATGCTCCAGGCCCCTCATCATCTCTGTAGCCCTCTGCTGCACCCTCTCCAGCAGTTCCCTGTCCTTCTTGAACCGGGGAGAAGGCAAAAAGTCTGTCTCCTTCCTAAAACAATACAGCTTTCAACTAACTACCGACCAACGCGCCTTCGCCTTGCTTTTCTAACCAGCGCTTCAATACCTTCCCAAATTTTACTTACACCAAAAAAAACCCCAAACCCGTAAATACAGAACAATGTCACTTTTAGCTGTGAAATCATGCTATCGGGTTGGGTAGGCTGCGAATTAAATCACCCGCCGGACGCACCGCAACGACTCCGCTGACGGCCGCCTTCCCGCACTTCCCGCACCGCCCGCCCCTCAGCCCCGGCCGGCACCATCGCGGCACTCGCCACAGACGGGGGGGGTGTCGCGGGAGCGAGCCGGAACCATTCGGCCATCTCTCCCTCTCTACGCTTTCCCCGCTCCCCCCATCTCTTGGCTAGTGGTACGCTCTGCCGCGGCGTCAGCCCTGCGCGGGCCAATAGGAAGCGACCTGGGGAGAAGTTCAAACTCCGGTGGCGGTTGGGTCGCTGGGTTGTTCGCCGGGGTGCGGGCGAGGAGCGGGGAGAGCGGCTTCTCTTCCTCAGGCGGCGTGTGCCCTAAAGCTGCGGGGATGGGGGACGAGGGAGCCGTGACCGTCTGCGTGCGTGTGCGGCCGCTCATCGCCAGGTGAGGCTCCCTCCGGGCGGGAGGGCCGCACCCCAGCGCCCTGCCTGAGGGGAGGCTGCGGTGTGGCCTGCGGGCCCCCTCAGCTTCCCCGGGCGTTGCTGTGCCACCGTCCCCTCCCCAGGCTTCGGCTAGGGCCCCGGGAGCGCCGCTGCCGCTCTATGAAGAGGGGAGCAAGGCGAGGGAGTCAATGCGCCGTCCTTCCCTACCGGGGCTGGTGGGAGCCTGAGGGAGAGAGAGGCCCTCGGGGGAGGGGGAAGGCCGGCGTCTCAGGAGCCGAGCCCTAACCCCGTAAGGTTAACAGAATATCTCTTCTTTTAGAGAAAACGCTCTCGAAGATAAAGCGTCAGTCCAATGGAAAAGCGAAAATAATACTATTTCTGAAGTAAACGGTACAAAAGTATTCACTTATGGTAAGAATATGAAAGCAATTATTTTGATGCTTGTGTGGACCTTTGTTACTGTGCTACTTGGATGTATCAACTAACATTAACAACCCTAGCTTTTTGCAACTTCCATGAATTTTTTTTCCAACTCAATAATTTTGAAGGGGTGTGTCCTGGGTTGAGCGACACAGGACTAACTTCTGTTCTGATGCCTGGGAGAATGACTATTTTTGAAGACTGAGTTTGTGAAAATATTTACTTTATAGCCAGCTAGGCTATGTGGGATTCAAGGTCTCTGTGTTTTTGAGCCTTGCTGGGTGCAGGGAGGAGGAGTGAGGCCTGGGCATTTGACTGAGGCTGGCTGACAGGATTGTTTCATACTATGAATGCCACGTTCAACATAAACTAGAAAATTTGCTGCATAGTTCTCTCTTCCTCCTGAAGCACTTGTCCTCGCTGTCTCACATTTGCTGTCCACTGCTGGAAGGGCATGGCTTCCTACTGATAGAATTAGCTGAGTATAATTCTTATATGTTTTATATTGGTATCTGGATCAATACTACTACTTTAGTATTATTGTTAATTACTTAGTATTATTGTATTAAATCTATTTATATTTCAATCCTCGTGTTTCCTTGTTTTCCCGGGTTGGGAGGGTCATTGGGTGATAGAATAGTTGCCTAAATGACAATAAAATTGTTACACATTTTCTCAAACCATAACAGAGTGCCATTGGGGCAGCAGGGTTTCAGTCAGTAACAGGGATGTGCTTTTGAAGTCAGCTTCCTGATGGATGGTGCTCTCTGTTCTGGATCACGCTGTAAAAGTGTTTTTGGAATTTGAATTGTCTAGGTTGGAAGGGACCTTTTAGATCGAGTCCAAACATCAACCTAACACTGCCAAAATGACCTCTAAAACAAACCATGTCCCTAAGCACCACATCTCCTCATCTTATGAATGCGTCCACTACCTCCCTTGGCAGCCTGTTCCAATGGTTGATAACCCTACGAGCTGGATTCTTTTCATATGAATTCCAGTCACAAATAGACTAGAGTAGGGCTGGTCCAGAACACTGAGGGAGAAGGGGCTAGGGGAACCCAAACACGAAATCAAAAAGTGCCTAGTGTGGATGTTAGATGCTTATAACTAACTTCCTTGCTTTGAGTCTCTTCCTACTGATCTGCTCGTTAATATGAACGTAGCCACTACAAAATTTTTTCCCAAACTATAGATTCAATGAAAACGTGCTCCAAGCTAGGAGTTCAACAAGTAGCACGTATTGTCAGGTTTACAATCCCTGCAGATAAATTAGCTATAACTGGTTTTGGGATTAAATGGGATGACTATGTAACTGTGTCCATTGTTCTTAGGGTTTTTTCTGTTTGCCATTTCTATTTTGGTTCTGGGTTTAATATTTCTTTTATTAAAAAACCCCAGCCTGTGTTAGTAGTGTCACAATTATATTTTATGTTTGAATTATCATACAAGCATTCTGATGCCCATTTATTGGATTTGAAGTCAACGATATTGAATAATGTCACAGCTTGGTTTTGGCTTGCAATACAATGGATTCACATGCTTTATTTCAAATTATTTTTTTTAAGATCGTGTCTTTCACTCAAATGACAACACTCAGCAGTTATATGAAGGTGTTGCTGTTCCAATTATAGAGTCAGCTGTGCAAGGTTATAATGGTAAGTTTTAAATTTGTGTTTGAATCCTGTTTGTAATGTATTGCTTAAGCCATTAGTAAAATTCAACCATCTTTCTAGGCACAATTTTTGCTTATGGACAGACTGCTTCGGGGAAGACATACACAATGATGGGAAATGAAGATTCTGTGGGCATTATCCCTAAGGCAATTCAACATGTTTTCAAAGTTATTTGTGAGGTGAGCGGCTCCGTTAAATTCAAATTTCTGAAAGGACCACTGATAATTGTGATTGTTACATAAAAGTTAATTTTAGTATCAAGGAGCTTATGAACAAAACAAATTTCTAGTGGACTATGTGTTGCTTTGCTAGCCTTGTGAAGTTGAGTGGTTTAAAAAAAATATAATGGGACACTACTAGTTGAAATCAAATCAGAACAAAACTGAGGAAGGTTATTAAACTTGCAAATATGCTAAACCTTGTTTATAAATGTAAATAGATGCTTACCCATTAATGTGGGAGATAAGGTAATGTAAAGCTTTGTGTTTATTCTGCTATTTTAAAACTTTAAAGAATTAACAGTATTAAAGACTTCTTAGTGGGAAGAATATGACACTAAATTTACTTATTTCAGGCTTTCAAAAGAATCATAGGCTAATTGTTCAATGCTAATAGGAAGTAAGGAGAAGGTGTAAGTTAAAGCAGTGATTTCTAAAACACAAATCTGCAGAGCACTTGCTTCTGCCTCGAGGATTTCAGGTAATTGTTATCAGTTGTGTGAAGTGGTCACTGCTCCTTTGAGGAGGTGCAGAGTGCCCTCGGGGGTCTATAGGGGTAACTGAAGCCAAGAGATCTTTCTGTGGTGCTGTAGTCCTTGAGTCCATTTTGTAGCCTTTCCTCATCCCAGTATTCCCTACCAGGGAGGCAGGGGAAGAAGCAGCAGCAAAGTATATCTAAGCAAGCAGAGAGAGAAACTAGGAACACTGAGAGGAGTGAGCCTAGGCAGGAGGAAAGTAGATATGGAAAGGGCATTTAAGTGGGAGAACTACTGTCATGCTCCTGTAGGGCAGTTATCTTACTCTTAGAACCTACTAAAAGTGATATACAATTAATGCAGCTGGAAGGAAGTGGGATAGAAGAAAAATGATTCAATATTGTTAGATGCTAATGCGCAAAGATGATGTGGGGTGGGAGAAATCTGTGGAATGATATCCAAACGTATACCTTTGAGTTAGGGTTAATGCTTTGCATTAAAAGGTTTTCATGGCATAGTCATATTTTTTTATTTTTTATTTGTTTTTCCCTTTGGACATTAGATTCCAGAGAGAGAATTCTTGCTAAGGGTTTCTTACATGGAAATCTACAATGAAACTATTACGGATTTGCTTTGTGATATCAGGAAAAAGAAGCCTCTGGGAATTCGTGAGGATGTTAATGTAAGTGGATGTTAATTTAGTGTAAGTATTGTATCTGCTTAATGTTAAAGAAGTCGTTTTAAAAAAAAAAAGCCTTCAGAGGTATCTAGGTGAAAACTTTTCTGTGTCAAATTAGGTAATTTTTATCTTCAGAATTAGCAGGAGGATACTTAGTGTAGTAGAATAAACACAATGAAGTTGGGATTGCTGTTACTGATTTATCTTTATAAATGGTGTAAAAGTAGACAATCTCTGAAGTTATCCAGACTAGTATATTTTATTTACCTTTGACAGTGAATACTTGGAATTGTCTAGTTAATACAACTTCTACAAACATGATATTAAGCCTCTAGCTCAATGTGTTAGAAATCTTCAACGGATATACAGAGTTACTTGCATGCCATCTTCATGTCAGCTACAAAGTAGACACGCTTTTATTCTATTGTAGTCAGAGAATAACCATCAGACTACAACTATTTAGTAAGATGATCAGTAGGGAAAAATAAATCTATGTTAATGCCATCCTCAGTATCTTTATATTAAGTTTTGTAGCAAATAATAAAAATTAGTAGTTTGGGATTTGTAGTTGTGTGGTTTTGGTTTTTTTCTTTCAATGTCCTAAATGATCAATGCTTTTGGAACTTGGGAAGAACGGATTTTTATCAGTTGTATGATTATGGTCACATAGCAATTACTGAGAAATATACTCCTACATTCCCTCAGAAAAGGTCCAGAAGGATATTTCCCTTACCAGTTTTGTTTTAAGGAAACTTTCTAGATCTCTGTTATTCGATTTTTATCAGAATGGCTGCCAGAAGGCACCAAAAAAAAAATAAAGGTCTAAACATTGCCCATTCCTTGTGTTCAGACTGAAAAAACATTCAACTGATGTTGCTTCCATTTAAGGAGGAAGCAAACTGGAATAAATACCATAATTGCTGGTAATGCTAATGTAATGCATTGAAGTTATTTTCAGAGTTAAGTAAAACTTATTCTTGTTTTTGTTCTTAAGAGAAATACATATGTAGAAGATCTGATTGAAGAGGTGGTGGTTTCCCCAGAACAAGTTATGCAATGGATTAGAAAAGGAGAAAGTAAGTTGTTCAACCAATGTCAACTGATATCTTAGAAATGTGTTGGTGAATGGGATGTATCTAGAATCATAGAGTATCTCTATGTTTAGAAATCAATGTTTTTCAGATATTTTTACAATTGCTTTTTTGTATGTTACCTCCAATTTATCAGAGTATAAGTAAAAGTATTCTAATATTGCTTTTTGACAGAAAATCGCCATTATGGAGAAACAAAAATGAATGAACACAGCAGCCGCTCTCACACTATCTTCAGAATGGTAAAAACTTTTTCACTATTAGGAGGGATTTTATTATTTTTGAAGTGACAAAAACTATTGCATCCTCTTCTTCTAGATCATTGAAAGCAGAGAACGAAGTGACCCTGCGAATGCGAACTGTGATGGAGCAGTGATGGTATCTCACTTGGTAAGCTGCACTCCAAGAACTTATTAAATAGGCATTTAAGTTGAGAATTTACTGTTACCAGTTGTTTGAAAGAATTTTACTTTATAATGACATTACAAACGTGCTTTGTTGTTAACTTAAGCAGAAATCCTGTTTCTGATCATCTGTACAGAAGGAGATTCCTGGGATGTATCTAGAGTGTATCTTCCCACCAAAGAGAATTCTGACATGGGAATAGTTCCTCGACAATTCATGCTGGGTTGGGGACTGTCAGCTCCTTCTGAGGAACATAACAGGCTATTGTTGGAGCCTTCTTGCATTTTGTTAAACACAGCTTCCCCTACAATTGCTCCTGACTACTGACAAGCCCAGTGAAATAACTAATAAAAGTGAGGGCTGCTTGCTCAGGCAAATCATTATGGGATGCTATAAAGTTCTAGTTGACTTTGAACCAGATTCAGAGTGAGGCTTTTCTTCTGGTGTTTAATTTCTTCATTTTCTTATGACACAATGCCAGGCACAGAGACATAAAGCTGATTCAGGACAGGGTGCTAAATAAGCCCATCCAGACTCTCTTCCCGTGAAAGATTGGATCAGATGATCTGTGATTCTGTGAAGCTTCTTATGGCTTGAATCGGTAGTTAATACTTCTGTATTGAGAAATTGTTTCTCTCTTTTTGTTACTGAGGATAGGGGGAATTGCACTGCAAGTCTGAAATATTTTCAGGGTGGTGTAATAGAGTTCATACAAACTTGTTCTATGTCCATGTATTGGTTGGTATGTGCGCAGTAGCTATGGATTGCATCCAGTAATGACAGACCTCTTGTTTTTTTCTAAGTGTAAATTTACTTTACAGAATTCTTAGAGATTTAGAATTAAGAGGATCTAATACTAAATTGTCTCAGAACTAACTTATGAAATATTTAATGAATTTGCAGAACTTGGTAGATCTGGCAGGCAGTGAAAGAGCTAGTCAAACAGGATCTGAAGGTGAGTGTTAAATGAGTCTCTCCTGATGACTCGCCTCTGTTAATTAACACCTATGGGAGACTTATGAAAGGAAATTATTTGATCTATGTGCTATTCTGTTACTTACTGTTTATAAATAATCCCTTTTCCCCTTGGTAGGGCAGGATCTACTTGGAAAAATACTGAAAATGCTGTTAAGTGCAAACAATTAGATAGTAATATGGCTTTTCTAGAATAGCAGAGTCAGCAACAGTCAGGCACTGAACTAATTGACTGAAAAGGAATAAGTACATATTCTCCTGTAGTAAAGAAATCATTAGAAGCTTGTAGGGACTCATGTAAAGTGAATATATGGCTCATTCTTTAGCTAATAGGAAGCTGTATTGATATGATACCTAGGTGTCCGACTGAAAGAAGGCTGCAATATAAACCGGAGCTTGTTCATTCTGGGTCAGGTTATCAAAAAACTTTGTGATGACCCTTCTGGGTAAGTACTTGTGTTTGTATACCTGTTTTAAGATAAGTCACTAATAAACTAAGAAATTAAAATCCTTTGTATATAATGCTATTTTATGTATATAACTATTTCAAATAACCTGTTACCTCTAGAAAATATATTTACTGTGCGTTTTTTCTGTAAAAACATGAATTCTTACTTTTTTTTCTCCACCTTTTTCATCAGCTTCATAAATTACAGAGACAGCAAGCTGACTCGAATTCTGCAGAACTCCCTTGGAGGAAATGCTAAGACAGTTATTATTTGTACAATTACTCCTGTTTCTTTTGACGAAACGCTCAGTACTCTTCAGGTAAAACTTCTCACCTGTTTTCAAGCATTATTGAGTCAACGCTTTGTTGTAGACAGGTTGGAGGGGTGGAAAATATAGCCTGCTGGATCTGTAGTCACTAGAATCTTCTAAAGGTCCTCTGTGGACTTGAAACTTGAAATATTTCATTTTGTTTGCAGCATCTTTTCCCATCTTGCACTAAGTAGTCTAACTACAGCTTTCTGGCACTCGGAACAAAGCTGATTCTCTCACCGTGCAGGCAGGAGATAGCCTCTCAGGTTATCAAAAAACTTTGTGATGACCCTTCTGGGTAAGTACTTGTGTTTGTATACCTGTTTTAAGATAAGTCACTAATAAACTAAGAAATTAAAATCCTTTGTATATAATGCTATTTTATGTATATAACTATTTCAAATAACCTGTTACCTCTAGAAAATATATTTACTGTGCGTTTTTTCTGTAAAAACATGAATTCTTACTTTTTTTCCTCCATCTTTTTCATCAGCTTCATAAATTACAGAGACAGCAAGCTGACTCGAATTCTGCAGAACTCCCTTGGAGGAAATGCTAAGACAGTTATTATTTGTACAATTACTCCTGTTTCTTTTGATGAAACGCTCAGTACTCTTCAGGTAAAACTTCTCACCTGTTTTCAAGCATTATTGAGTCAACGCTTTGTTGTAGACAGGTTGGAGGGGGAAAATATAGCCTGCTGGATCTGTAGTCACTAGAATCTTCTAAAGGTCCTCTGTGGACTTGAAACTTGAAATATTTCATTTTGTTTGCAGCATCTTTTCCCATCTTGCACTAAGTTGTCTAACTACAGCTTTCTGGCACTCAGAACAAAGCTGCTTCTCTCACCGTGCAGGCAGGAGGTAGCAAAAACTTTAGTTGTGTGTTTGGAAAAGGCAAATGAGAAAACAAAGGCTAACACAAGATGTTATGCAGGCCTTACAAAAAAGGAGGGTAATTGAACTATTAATGAGCTGTATCCTTTAGGTAGGATTGTCTTTTGAGCTTTTTATTAAATAAGAATAACTTGGTGTATTTTTGCTTAAATGTTAGGCTTCACTCTTTAAGTATTAATATCAAGTAAAGAAAACTGTTCAAAACTGAGTTTTGAGTAAGCAAATATAAACATTTGTGTCCTTTATTACATGTGGATAGTTGTCTAATAAATTGTCCTTTTAATTCTGTTGGGAAATAAGATACAGAGTAAGTGTTTTGATATATTTGTTCTTCAACTATTGCCCATGAGAGAATATTCTTTTAGTTTGCCAATACAGCCAAAAGAATGAAGAATACTCCGATAGTCAATGAAGTACTTGATGATGATGCCCTCCTGAAGAGGTATCGCAAAGAAATTCTGGATTTGAAAAAGCAGCTGGAGGAAGTATGTAATAAAATTATTCAAATTAATCTATCCTTAGTACTAGTAGCTATTTGGAAATGTTCTGTTTTAAATCAAACCCAGATAAATTTGGAGGGGTAGGTAAACTGTTAAAAGCTATATCTATAATTTCTATTGAGAGAATAGAAATTGAAAAGGTGCTGTGAGGGTTAGAACAACTGATGATAGTCTGCATTATCTGTGTGAAAGCTAACAATGAATGAAATCAGTGAATTGAATGAATAACTGAACTGCCATCTGTAGGTTAACATATGAAAGATTTCTGTTTCTTAAATACCTTATAGCACACTTTAATATTGCCACAGATCAAAAGGAATACTTAGTTGCAGTGTAAGAAGTTATTGAATGTCAGTTAAAGATTCCAACTTACTTAATATTTTCCCCTGGTACTGTTGCTTTAGTTGGAGTTGCAAGAAGTTGCAACTGCATAAGATCACAGGCAAAACTTATGTCATGTGTAGACAGAAGATACATTTAGAAAATGAACAATAGTAACTTCCCGACAAACAGTGTAGTCTCTCTCCCCTGAGTTCATCTTTGTCCAGAAGTCTGTGGAGTTGAGGAGCAACCTTACAGGTCTTTTTAGAGCATAGATGATAAAAGATAAAGCACAGGAAAATCACCATTCTGAACATACTGTTTTGGTGAATTAAAGTATCAAAATAAGTTTGGTTTTTTTTTTCTTTGCAAATAAAAAAATAATAGGTAAATTTTAAGGAAAAATAAATGACCTCTTAATTTTAAAGAGAATTAATTTGCAGTATAAACTTGCACCTAGAAGTGTGTTTGCCATCTTCTGAGGTAGTAGGTGGTGAGGAAAGTACTAAAGTACAGAAGAGTGTTGGAAAAAATCCCATGTGAACTTTGAATTGTTCTAAAGTATCGTAAGATTATGATAAATTGTCAAAAAAACCTAGCTACTGTCATGCAGCTTCTTTACAACAGAAGTTTTGGGACTTCAAAATTTAAGGCACTGCATGCATTAGGGTAGCTTGCTGTTATTTGACAACTGAATATTAGCTCTGGAAGACCTTCTGGCACTATGGTAATGTCATCTTAAACTACATTCCAGTTGAAAGAATGCTTTTTTTTGTTCCTAGAAAGCTATGAGGCTGTATTGTTTTGAGGAGTTTTGACCCTCTTAAATGCTAAGTCTACAGGTAAACTGTAGACTAAACTGTCAGTTTCATCATTGTTAAAAACTAAAAAAAGCTCTTCCAGACTTAATATATGTGTGTAGTTATTTTTAAATATCAGTAATTGTGTATCTTCTGTAGAGGAGTAGTTTGTGATCTTAAAATGTCAGTTTGATTAATATTGTTATTATGAAAGGTGTCTTCGAAGACTCAAATTCATGCAATGGAGAAAGACCAGTTGGCCCAACTGTTAGAAGAAAAAAATTCTCTTCAAAAAGTACAGGAAGATAGGATACGAAACTTAACAGAGATGCTGGTGACTTCTGCCTCCTTTTCCTCAAAACAAAATTTTAAAGTAAGCACATGTTCTTGGTCTTATTTGTTAACTCTGAAATACTTTGCAAAAGGTAATATTAAATTTGTAGGGTTATACTGATAATGAAGCATAAGTTTGATAGGCAATTTTCACATAACTCTTCTTATCTTTAAAGGGATAACTTTTAACTTAACTTCTGAATGAGTATCAATTCAATGTTGCCCTGCAGTGAACTGACTGCAAAGACTTTTGCTTTCAAATTTTTATGCTGTAGTTTAATTTTGAAGAAACTGCTAAACACTGTCTAGTTAGCTGCTGGTACTGCTAAAGAACTAGCCTAATGCAAAACTTACTGTCGTCTTAGTGCTTTGACTGTACTGCTCTTTCTGTAAATACTTTTTTTAAAGGCCAAGAGGAGAAGAAGAGTTACCTGGGCTCCTGGTAAAATAAACCAGGGGAACGAGAGCTATTTTGAAGACTTTGAAAAACCAGGGCTGACCGAAACAAAAAAAATGAAAATGTCTCTGTTGTCGCTACCAGACATAGAGGATTGTAAGTATCTTCAGGAAAAAATAAGGAAGCAAGGCAGCTTTGAAATGAGAAATAATCCCTTTTTCATAAGTCTATGTTAAAAAACAAACTAATTTGCCAGCAATATGAAAGCTCCATATAGTTGGCACTGTACTCCTCAAATTATGCTCCATGAGCTCAGTTTTGAAAGAGTTACCTATAGCCCATAGGGAAATTACATTTGTCTGCCAGCAAAGAATGCTGCCTGGAAGGGAAGTGGTTGTAGCACATTAATGCTGGTAGGTCTTGTGCTGGAAATAAGGTTAATTTTATTTCAAAAAGTGTGACTGTAAATCTTACTCTATCCCAGGTGAAATAAGTGTCGCAAATTCCTGTGGATAATTTTGCAAGTGTTATTTAATTCCCCAAGGGGAATAAGTTGACTCTCTGAGAGCGCGATTAAAGAGTAAAGAAAAAAACAATCACACGCACACAAAAAAACCCCACCACCAATTGTCCCTGAACACACTTTCCAAGGAAACTACTACTATTTATTTTTTCTTCTTCTGGATATTGAGCTTTTAATTTGTTAAAACCAAAGGTAAGAGCTGTGAGGTAGAAAGCAGGGTCTACAGATTTTTCTGCCATGTAGCCTACTCTAACCCTTTAGTTTTTTTATAAAAGTAGTGAAAGTTATTCTTTAGCACAGACTATCCATCCAATGTATCTCCCCAAAAAGGAGGTGAGGGGGAAGGAAGAAGGTGTGTGTGAAATTCCAAAATCCTCAACAAGAGTAGAGAAGTCATTACTCAAAGATCAGATTGAGATACAGAGAAATTCAAGGACTTATTAGAGGAGTGAGGAAGTTGAACTGGAGACAAGAGATTAATGGGACAGTATTATTGGTGAACTCCATTTTACAATCTTATGACCTATCCTCCTGTCTAGCTTTTTGCTTGTACATGGTTTGTCCGGGTTGGGATTTTTTCTGTATGGAGGATGGTGGTGTTTTTTTCTTTAAATCTTGCAGAATGCTGTTGAGTGGTTCTTTTCTTGACACTTCAACACTCTTCCTAGTCACTAATTAAGTATATATTCTTGATTTGGTTTAGTATTAATTAACTTGTGATAAGGTGATCAGCATAAACATAGGGACTGGACTTCAGTGTTTTTCCCTCTCATAAGAGAAAATAATGAGATTCAGAATTTCTTTGTCATTGAATGATTGTTTCCAATGTGATAAAGTTCTTTGATAAGAAAATAATTCTTGCTGTCCAGTTTAAAATCTACTGCTAGTCTGTATATTTTTTTAATACATCTTTCTTTTCAGCTATGTTAGAGAATTGTGAACAAGACAATCAGTGTCTGATGGTTCCTGATCAAATTTCAGAAGTAGAATGGACTGCTGGACCTAACATGAATTGGGTAAAGTCATAATCTATTTTGGTTGTCTAATACAGTGTATATACATTACATGCTTCCCATGCTTACTCTTCTGTAGAACACCAAAATTCTTCTATATATCTCAAGAATTATTAGAACTGGTTAGAAAGTAAGTCATGTCTGAAGGTACCATCCAGTCTTGGTCATCTCTGAAGTTGTGAGATGGTTTTATGGTTCTACCATTTTGTGGCAAGTGGTTCAGTAAGTTTTGGTATTTAAGCAGGACTAGCTGTGAGAAGAAAGGCAACAGGGAATATAATACTAAACTTGCTTGATCTTGCAGATCAGTTAACTGAGAGCAATTCTTTTTCTAGACTCAGAGAGACTTTGAAGAATCTGTCCAACTCTGTGAAGCATTAGCATTAGAAAAGGTAAGTCTGTTCTTTATTGTCTAGAAACAAGACTGACGCTCCAACAACAACTTCTAAAGTTTCTTGTGCTGCTTCCTCAGGATATTGCTGTAAATGAGATCAACACCCTGCAAGCCAACTTTAATAATCTAGTATTGGAAAATGAGCAGTTGAAATTGGAAATAAATGAAATGAAGGAGAAACTGAAGGAAAAAATAGAAATGGATGAATTTGAAGCACTGGAAAAACAAACACAAAAAGATCATGAGGTAAGGCACACTGAATAAATGCAGAGGGAGAAGAATTCTTTATGCTCAAATGTTTTCTAGAGTTTATTCAGTGTACATATAAACATCCATGTTGTTATAAGCTGTGTTCAGCAACAGAATAAATGAACCTAGGATTTAAACTGGATTTACTCAGAGTATAAAATTCAGACTTAAATTTTTGGAGTCTCTGTGGGTATATATATCCAAAGATTATTTTTATATATGCCTGATTTGAATTTCATTCCAGATTTTTGCAAGGGACAGTTGTTTTGTTGTGTAAATTACATTTTAGAACTGTTCTGAAGTTAAAGTATGATTGCTAAGCTACTTTTCACATACTTGTGCAAAACATCTTGGTTTACAATCCAAGGTGGCTCTGACTTTTGGTAATCGATTGAACTATGTAAGCATTAACTATTACCATGTTATTTAACTACTAATGTCTATGGAAATTTTTAACATTGTCTCTTGTGCCAGGAAGTCAGAAAAGGTAAATCAACCTATTGGATAACTTTTGATACAGGATATGCTGACTCTGTTCTTGTGCCAGGAAGTCAGAAAAGGTAAATCTACCTATTGGATAACTTATGATACAGGATATGCTGACTCTCTTAGCTTCTTTGTGCTGTTAGAGGAGATGTACCTTGTTTGTTCAAATGCCTTATGCTTTGATTTTGTAACCTAAAATATGTATTACTTGTGTCACTTTTCACATACTTGTGCAAAACATCTTGGTTTACAATCCAAGGTGGCTCTGACTTTTGGTAATCGATTGAACTATGTAAGCATTAACTATTACCATGTTATTTAACTACTAATGTCTATGGAAATTTTTAACATTGTCTCTTGTGCCAGGAAGTCAGAAAAGGTAAATCAACCTATTGGATAACTTTTGATACAGGATATGCTGACTCTGTTTCTTTGTGCTGTTAGAGGAGATGTACCTTGTTTGTTCAAATGCCTTATGCTTTGATTTTGTAACCTAAAATATGTATTACTTGTGTTAGGTCCTAGCTGCTCAAGGGCTAGACTGTAAAATAAGGCCCAGTGCAAAAAAACCCACCCAACTAAACAATTGCTCAAGGGCTAGACTGTAAAATAAGGCCTAGTGCAAAAAAACCACCCAACTAAACAAAAAAAAAAAACCAAACAAACATAACCCCAAACCCAACAACTTAAAGTATTGAGACATGGATGTATTATTCCATTTCTTTCCTGACACCTTCTCTGCGGGCTACTTGTACATGCTAGTCTGTTTAATATTCTCTGACCATGAAACTAACGTTGAAGCTGAAGTTATATCCTTTTGCATTGTTGTTTCAGGTTACAAATTAACAAAATCACCTCTGTTTTCCATTGTGTTCCCTACAAAGATTTATGGATGTCAAACAAAATGGATCCATAATAGGTTATGATTTAGCTTGTATTTCATGACTCTTTTTAGAGGACCCTTTGTATGCCAGACTAATTGTGCTATGTTCCTTATCAGCAAGCATTTAACAAATCCTCAGTTACAGTTTTCTCTGCAAAGCTTTTGTGTGCCTGATAACAGATGCAATGTTCTAAAGTAGCTTCTATTACAATAGTTGCTTTTTGAATGATCCATGTTCTCGGATATGTATCTGAAGACAGTCCACAAAATGTAAACGTTTGTTGATACCCATGTAGCAGATTATTCAGTGAAGTATGTGACTTTTCAGTATTGCTGTAATTACACTAGTTGAAATCCAGCAATTTAAATCGCCACAGATATATACAGGTAAACTCTGTTATTCTGAATAATGACATTGAATGACTTTCACATCTTCTACAACCATTCTCTGATTTTTAAGATGACAGATTGGGTTTTCTTCTAGCTATACACTTAACTATCTAGAAATACTCATAGGATAGTGCTTGTTTTAAAGCTTTTCAGTGATCTTAAAATTGCAGATTGGATTTTCACCTTACCTACACTTGTGACTATACAGAAGTACTTGTAGATGAGTGCCTGTTGGAAAGCTTTTCTAACAAAGACCAGAAGAAAACAGTTCTTCAATTGTAGAAGTGCTTTTCTACCTAGTCTTGTGCTTTGATTTAGAGGATGTCACTGAATGCATTGCTTGCTTTACCTCAATTTTGGCATCACCTCATTCTTGTTAATGGATAGATTAAATCATAAATACCTGCACTGTGTCTTAAGCTGCTTAACATGACTAGAATTTGAAGTGTTGTATCTGTACAATTTCTGCATTAATGGCTTTGATCACACAGCTCTTGCTTCTCAAGTTGTTGCAGATTAAATTGTATTTGAACCCTTTCTAATTATGGGGAAGCTAAAACAGAGCTTTGCATCTCATCTATCCATTTGAAAGAATATGTACCAACTTGCTTTGTAGCTGTTTAAAAAGGTATGTGTGCATATATGGTTTGCCCACTAATAGAAAACACAACACAAGAGAGACCTTGCTTATTTTCATGGTGTTGGCAACTAAAAGTACTGGTGTGGGTGCTTTCTAACATCTGCTGCAATTTTGCTTTAATCTGCTCCACAGGAACAACTAATGCATGAAATTACCAACTTAAAGAATCTAGTTTCAAATGCTGAAGTGTACAATGAGGAACTTGAGGTGAGCCTGTCCATGAATTTACATGCAATAAGTCTTGTATGAATGTGCTTGGTTTGTTTATCTTGAAATACTGCATCTGCTGAGCACAACATAGACACTGAGCTCTGGTTAGTCTTACCAGCTGTAAGGACAATATGGCTAAAACCCATGAAGGCTTATGATGTACAATCAGGTTTTTTTGTTAAATTCTTACCTGAAAAAACAAACTGGTTACTAGAATCTTCATTCTCCCTTTTTTTTCCTCCAACTTTTAGGTAGAAATAAACTCCAAACTGGAACAGCTGAAAGAGAAGGAGAACAAAATAAAGATACTACAGAACCGTGTGGAAGAACTACAGAAAGCAGCAGCGAAAAGAAAGGACACATCTTTTTCAGTGGTAAACTTGAGTTTTCTGCTGGGTTGAGAGATGGTTTTGGTTTTGTTGGAGGTGGGTTAAATTTACGTACAACATTGGTATAATGGAAATCTGCTGCCCTACAGACATTAGCAATATTTTTTTTACAAAGCTTAAAATGCTAATTACTGTATTATCAGACAGCGGTACTGTGGTGAAGTAAGGCTGTGGGAAATGCTGCTCTTCATCCCGTCTCTCAAATGAGTCTGCTACTATTCCTCTTAAAAGTAAACTTCCCATGTTTTCTGAGACTGTATTTTCATTTTAACCACAGTGTAGTGAACACATTTGCTTTGTTATGGCTATATATATTTGAGTATTTATCTGTCTTTTTCAGGGAGATTCTGATAAGCTAATTGAGGAAATTCAGCAGCTGAATAAATCCCTCTTAGATAGCGAAACCATAGCCTTGGATGCCAAAAAAGAATCTGCTTTTCTCAGAACTGAAAACTTGGAGCTGAAAGAGAAGATGGCAAGTACTTGTTAAATTGCATTTATAGCTGTACAAAATGCTGTTAAGGGCCTGTCTGCTCCCAGACTAATGAAGAAGGCAATTGATAGACTGGTAGAGTATTTGAAGAATGCTGGTAACTCCTGCTCCAAGTAATGTTCTTATTATGGAATTCATGGAAAATGTGTCTTCAGGAGAAAATATAAAAAGAAAATAAAGTCTGCTTCCACAGGAGTGGGTAGTTAGTTTTAGATTTACCAGTAGAGAGAGAGAAAGCAAATGAATAGTCTTTAGGGAGTTACTAGGACATAAGATTTCAAACCTAATTTTACCAGAGAACAAAAGATAAGAAATGTGAACTCAGAAGTGGGATGGAGATTACTGCTTCAAAGCTCAAAGTAAAGAGAAAATAATAGAAGCAGGTACAGCCTTGTTCTCTAAGGTAAGTTATGTTTTGTTTCAGGACTGCAGTTGTTAAATTGTAGCTTATTTATCAAGGCCAAAGTTGTTCAGTCACAACAGGAAATGTGGCAGATACAATATTTAAATGTTAAGCAACTAGATTTTCTTTGTGTGTGTGAACTGTATGTTGTTTTGTTTTCCTGAAGAATGAACTCTTAAATAATCACAAGCAAATGCAAAAGGATGTTCAACTCTATCAAAGCCAAATAGAAGCAGGAAAAGCCAGTTACAAAAAAATGCAAGCTGAGTTGCAGAAAGAGTTGCAGTCTGTATTTCAAGAAAACACAAGGCTAACTTCGCTGATGGAGGGTAAAGTCCCAAAAGGTACTGTTTCAAGTGGTGCTTTTTTCCTATCCTTCCTCTTATCTGTAACGGTGAGGGAATTGGGAAGACTTTGGCTCTTGTTTTCTTGAATACTTGGACGTTCTTTCAATATAAAATATTAGGGTATCTGGTACTGCTGGCATGTAGTTACTGCTTCTGCACTTTCTTGAACGTTAAAAAAGCTGCAACTTACAGAATGTTTTGTGTTTTATGCAAAGACAATTGAGTTTGTGAAGGTTGTCAGGGCGTTTTGTGTTTTATGCAAAGACAATTGAGTTCGTGAATTTAAAATAAACTGGATGTTAACCTAACAGTTGATGACCAAATTCAGACCACTAGTTTTCATCTTTTAATTGTTGGCCACTGTAAAATATGCTTTTCTCAAATTATACTGATATGACATCCAGAATGCATTATAAATCTTCTGCTTAATTTAAAACATGCTTTTTTTTCTACACTCTTATTAATTTAACCATGTTAATTCAAATCTTCTGCTTAATTTAAAACATGCTTTTCTTCTACACTATTACTAATTTAATCTTGTTAATTGTCTAGATCTGCTCTCTGTTGTGGAGCTGGAGAAAAAGGCAACTGACTTAAAAGGAGATCTAGAAAAAGCACTGAAAGAGAATGCAATTCTACAAAAACAAGTAAACGAGCTATCAGAACTTCAGTCTCTACCAAATACTGTTGAGATACAGCAGAAAGAGGTAAAACAACAAAAAAATTAGTCTAATACTACTTCCTTTTTTTTACATTGTACTTGACTGGTAACATATTGAGGCCTACTGGATATGAAATTTAAAGCCAAAAGTTGTCTTGAATCAAATAACCTGAGATTTTGCAACTAAGTTCATGAAATTCTTGTTCCTTGGCTATTTAATATTTGCACAAAGGAATGAATTTCATGTAACATGTTTGGTCACAATATCTGTTATAATTAATCAGCAATTTCTATTCCAATGTTTGCCTGCCTATTTGTCATAGTCACCATTGATAACTGTGTATGTATAATGTTATTTGATCCTGGCTTACTGTTTTAAAACTGATTTTATATTTCTAATTGGGCAAAGAAAAAATTTCGAGACATCTTAGCAGAAATACTGCTTGAGAAGTAAGAGATTTAACTGGCAAATTCTAGAAAACTTATAAGTAAAATTCTCTGTTTCCTGGCAGGTCAGGGCTTAATGTAGACTAAGTTTGCTCTAAATGTGTCTTAAAGGGTTTGTTTGTGAACACTTTCTAGGTTTCTTTATCCTTAAAGAAATACAAATAAGTATATGCTGTGAAAATTATCCAGGGCAAGTAACCTCACAAACTCATTATTGCTTTGCAAAAAGTTCCAAACACTTCTGGTCGTCTACTTCCACTAATAAACGAAACTTAATTAGATGTTATTAGCTGATTAACAACACTTCTGGTCGTCTACTTCCACTAATAAACAAAACTTAATTAGATGTTATTACCTTCATAAAATCTATTGTGAAAAAATTATTCACACATCTAAATACTCAGTTTAGGAGTTTTAGATAGGTGTACCAGTCCACTCCTAGCTCAGACATAGTTCTTCACATAGTTGTTTTTTTCTGTGTCTTAAGAGTTATAGGAGAGGTTTCAAGGTTTGGGGACTTGTCTGTCTTGCTTCTCTTAGAAGGATTTTTTTACTAGACAGATCCTTCCCAACAAGGTAAAAGTCAATATATTGTTCTGTGTTTGCCTGTACATTTTCCTGTATCTTCATATGAACCTGGTTTTTATTATGCAGCTATGACAAATACTGATTTATAAAATGCTATTAATATTGCTTATCTGCTGGCAGATCCTTGAAAAATGTGAGGAGCTACGCTTATTAAAATTGGAAAGAGAAAAGCTGCTTTCTGAAGTAGCTGATAATGAAGTTAGACTTAAGCATATGACCGAAGAAATTGGAAAATCAAAAGACGATCTAGCAGATGCACAACTTAAATATGTCAAGTCTGATCAGGAATATGCAGCACTTAAACAGCTCCATGAAGAACTAGAGCAAAAATATGTAGCTACGTTAGAAAACAACGAACAAATGAAGATCCAAATAGATATTCTATCTAAAGAAGCACAGGAGTCTAGAACTACTTTGGATGAAGTGAAATTAGAGGTCAGTGTCAGCTTATTCCTTTTTACAGATAAAACATAAGGAATTCATTCATAATATTGAAAAAGAAAAAAAAAACTTTTTGGAGAAGTAGTCTTAAAATTATAAATAACATTATCATTGAAATTCCTCTAGCATGAGTGGATATTACTTATTCTGTGCAGGGTGTATAAGGTCATGCGATTATGCATCTCAGCTGTTTCTTTCTTCATAGACAAAGAAATGTATATGCTACTCCAGGTTATGTTCTCCTTCTGTTCTTGACATTTTAATTCTTCTTTTCCCATTCTTAAGTTACATCTTTACTATGCAGATCTTTTTTTTTTTTAAATAGGCTGCTATGACTCACTCTACCTAAAGTCATAAAAACAAAGTTTCCTCATTGGGTACTGGAGTCTGTTAGGACAGAAGATCTTTCAAACCAAAGGAATCACAGCATAAATTGGCAATTTTATGCTTTTCCTTTAGAAAGGAAATTTATTTCCCCATTTAAAAAGGGAACTAAAGATGCATATTTTTGACAAGGCTTTTAGCACTGATATGGCTGTCGTGTTCCAGCTATGGATTTGATAACTCCTAATTTGGTAATTCCTAATTGGCAAGATATAAGCAGTGACTTAAAGCAAAATGATGAACTTCTTATTCTCTTGTTGCAAGACAGCATCTCTCACTCTTTCTAAGCTAATACAAGATTCTGTGAGAACATATACACTTTATACAGTTTTGCAGTGTATTTGCAGTGTTTACAGTCTGGCCTTTTTCTTTACAAACTAAAGCTCTCTGGCAAAATGAAAGAACTGGAAGAAAAGACAGCAGAGCACCAACAACTTCTTGAGGTAAGAGAAGATTTTATTCAGGCTCAACAGAAGTTAAATGAAATGGAGCAATTAAAAGAGCATGAAAAGATTATAGAGTCAAGACTGGAGGCCAAGGATTCAGAGATCCAAGCAGTTGTTCAGCAGCTCACTGAATGTCGGGAAGAAATAAAAGCTTTAACCCAGGAAAGAGATTACTTGAAGCAAAAAGAGGAGTCTCTCCAAGCTGAGACAGACCAACTCAAAGAGGATATAAAGGACACTGTTTCTATGGTATGAATTCTGCCTTTATAGAAATGGATCATGCATGTTAAGGGGGCGAGTGTAAGAACACTTATAAACTATATTAAGTTATATTGAGGAGTGGGGTTTTGTGTGTGTTTAGAAATGGATCATGCATGTTAAGGGGGCGACTGTAAGAACACTTAAACTATATTAAATTATATTGAGGAGTGGGGTTTTGTGGATTCATTTAATCAAGGAGTGCTTACTAATGTTGCAGAATACTTGAATTTTCTTACGTTGATTTTCTTCCTTTTATTCTAAAGAACATTTTGGCACATGAAGAACTGAGAAATGCACAGAGTTCTCTCAAGCAATCCCAGGACACTGTCAAGAAGTTGGAAAAAAATATTTCTGAAAAAGAATCTGAGATTCTGAGAGTTGAAGAGGCACTAGGGAAAACCATTAAAGATCTCGAAATACAGGTAAAGTGTTATGTAATAATTCAAAATAAAAACGCTTTTAATATGTTTTCCAACACTGAAAACAAGCCTACTTAGTCTGCTTATTGTCTTTTCTGCTTTTGCCTAGAAAACTTCTAGGCCTGTGGCAGAAAGCGGGCAAAAAAATAGTACTGCCTGATCCAAGCCTTTAGCAGTTGCTGATCTATTTGTGCAGAGCTTCAAGCTGTAACGTGCACTCTAATAAAACTTTGCTTAACTAGTGTGCCCCGTGGTTGTCAGTTGGCATGGTGACATTAGATGGCAAATGGAAGAAGAGGTAAGGGTTACCTGGGGCTAGTAATGAGGCTAGGGGTTTATAATACTCAGTCCCAGCACACGGTTGTAAATGGCAGCTCGGTTCCCAACATACAGCACTGGGGTTTGTGCCTTTTGGTTCAACAACTGACAAAGAATATTGTATGTTACACAGATGCTTCAGTGGCACTGTTTCTCTCGAGGGAGAATCCATACTATGTAAGACTGTTGTTGTTATTTCTTTTCTTGAGGTATATCAGCTGCCAGAACCATTAAGTCAATGGTTGTGAATTGAGCATTTGCATGTTTTGGAAGAGATGTGTAAACAAATAATCCACCAGGTGTTTCTTATCAGGTTTCTACCTCTCAGACTTTTTCTAAGTAAAAATCTGGCCAATATTGCAGAAGAGACTGTTGAAAGGCTGGCATTTAAAACAGGTGACAAAGGCTAAAGACTCAGTTCTGGGGTTTTTCTAGTTTGGTTACAATGGTTTAATGTTAATAATACTGTAGCAGAGCAAATCAAATAAGTTTTTCATTTCATTTTGGCTTTAAATTGATAGAAACACCATCTTTGCATATTTTTTTTATAGATATCACAAATGACAGAAGAAATAAAAATCATCACATCAGAGAGAGACCAGCTTGCTGAACTAAAAGCAGAAAATACCTGTGAAGAAAGTGATCAGCTTCAGGCACTAAAGGAACAAATCTTTTCCCTTACGCAAGAGAACAATTCATTGCAGGATAAGTTGGACAATTTGCATTTGAAAAAAGAAGAGTATGGGGAAGGAACTTCGGTAATTATGCTAAGGCTGTAATGGAAAGCATGCTTATTTAAACTTTCACTTGAGTGAAAATAATTTGCAAAACAAACTGGCAAAAAAGGTCCTGCTACTTGACTGCAGGCCATTAAACACCAGGATTATTATTGCTTACTTATAATACATTCTACCCGTATTGTTGTGTATGGGCAATTAGTAGAAGGATATGACAAACATTTTTCCTGTAAATAGAATTTTAACTTGATACAGGATGGTGGTGTTCTGAGTTGATCTGCACAGAGAATGTGGCTCTATAAATAGTTGAAGTTAAAAATTGTTTTTCTGGAAAGGGTGGTTCTGCTTTTTCAAAGCATAGATAGAACTGACATTTTTTTCCCTGACACTGTATGACAAGGGACATGGCAGCCAACGTTTTCCACAATGGGATGTACTAATTGCCCATGTGTGTTATTTCTATATATACAAAGTGTGTATATAAACACTTTGAAAAAAGTATGTACGATATTTTAATACTTATGGGGGAGTAGACAAATTTCAAGGAAATAACTGCCTTGATGCCATTATTTTCTACTTTTGAAACTACAAATATGGATAAAGTCTCTGTAGTTTGGTTTGTGGGGTTTTTTGTTGTTGGGTTTTTTGTTTGTAGTTGGTTTGTTTTGTGGTTTTGGTTTTCTTTGGTTTTTTACCTCCTTGGGCTTAAACTATGGCCATGAAGTTCTGCTTTTTGGTAACTTGTTTCAGAAGTCCTCAGTCCAAATTTTATTTTACATGGTTTGTTTGATTTCCATAAACTTGAATTGCATATTGAGTTCAATCAAATCTTACTATTATGAAAAAAATACAAATCACTCCAAAACAGCTTCTGTTTGTTTTACATAATCAACCTCTCAATGACCAGATATGTTTCTCTTAAAGCTGCTTTCCCAAATGCATTGACTTTTATCTCTGTACAAACTAGATACCACAGATTCAAGAAAAATCCATTGAGCAAGAATTGTTTCTTCTAAGAGAAGAGCTGAGCCAAGCACAAAGGAAATTGCATGAAATGGAGGAAGCGAAGGCCAATGAATGTCAAAGAGAATCTGAAAAAACGGGGACGACAGATCATATTCCAAAATTGCATGACCATCAGGATGTGAGCGCTCTGACAGAAGCAGAGAAGGATAATCTTAAAATGCAGCTGGAGAATCTCCAAAATCAGAGGGACCGTTTAAGAGAAACTGTACAGGAGGCAACCAGCAAGGTAAGAAAAATAGTCCTATTCCATTAGGGTAACAGTTTTAGTAAACTTCTGTCTTCACCTTTGGAAGTGTTGTTCAGGTTTTGATGTACTTTAACTGTTTCCTGTCCATAGAACTCAGAGATGCAGGAAGAGTTGACATGTGCTCATAACTCTCTCAGACAACATCAGGAGACTATTGCTGAGCTGAAAGGAGGTATTTCAGAGAAAGAAGATCAACTCTTGAAAGCACAAGAGGCCTTGAAGGAAACAACGGATGAACTGCAGCGGAAGGTCAGATGCAGTTTTGTAAAAAAACCTAAAAATTCTATCTGTATTGGCAACCCATGTCCTCTGCAGACATCAGTTTCTAAGGGTTCGGTAAATGTAATAATGGAACATAATTAAAAGCTTTTCCCATCTCTTTTTTTTTTTCCGCACCTATACTAGTTCTCAAAAGAATTACCAGTGAAAAGATGATCAAATGCAATATGACCTGCAAGTTACAACCCTTACCTATATCTAAACATGCTTTAGTGCTGATAAATGGAATATATTTGGAGTCAATGCTGCTCCCTGACCACAATGCATTTTTCAAGTCCTAAAACTTTAAAAATTCTCATAAGTCTTTTAGTTATGTAACTGGATATAATTGATCAACTAAAAAGCAGTTTAGCCACTTTAACTTGCTGCACTGTTATAAATTTCTTATCTACCTATTATTTTCATGACTGAAGCTATTGTGGCTTCTGTTAGAGCCAAGCCAATCTGCTTGAATATAGCAATGCAGTGATTTTTATGGAGTTATAATGGCATGTTGGTTTTAAACATTCACTTTTGTCTGCCACTGAAGCACTGAAATTTGACTTGTAAGCAAAATGGATACATCCTTCTTTGCTGACTATAGCAGTAAAGAAATGGAGGTGCCTTCTGTAATATAATTCAGTTATAACAATCTTTATGCACAGATAGTGCTTGTGAAAGATGATCCAATAACACTCTTCAATCAGAATCTGATTTCCAGGGCAACAAAATTTAATAAATTAGAATATTACTGGGTCTTTTCCAAACTATCAAATTACTTCTACCTCTGCTAGAGGTAATTAGAAATATTAATACTGGTTCTTATTTGTTCTTTCAGCTCACTGAAGTAACTGAAAACCTGACTCGTGTCTCTTCTGAATATGCCAAGCTACTGACAGAAAAAGAAGAAATTGAAAGAAGCATGAATGAGAATATCCATCAGCAGCTTGAGCAAATCACTTTACTTAATCAGGAGAAAGATGAGCTACAGCGGGTGGTAGAGACCTGTAAAGCAGAAAGAGATCAGTTAGAGGCTGAGTGTCTGGAAAGCAAGGAGAAGGTATGTATAAAACCTCTTTAAATAATTCTTTTAAAGGCAGGTTGTTCCACTCCAAATTATTTTGGTCACAAAGCCCTCTGCTAGTCAGTATCTCTTCCTCTCCCTTCACTTGCTCGTAGCAGCAGTAAACTCAAAATTGTGTTTACTAATCCAATCTGGGTTTTGGAACTTTGTCTCTTATTTTTTCTTCCCCCTGTCCCCTTCCTGCCCTGCTGGTCACTGCCGCTCTGGGTTTAGTCACAGTTCCCTGCCACCTGCTGGGCAAACACTCCACAAAGTCCCCTTCCATCTACAGTGTTTCTGCTTTTAGGACTGAACAGTAGAGGTGATCCAGGTCTGCTGATCCCTGAGGGCTTAATTCTCCTGCCACTCAGCTCACTCTGGACTGATGGAGAGAAAGCTAAACCCAGAGAAGAAATTGATCAGCTGCCCTAGTTCTCCTTCCTGATGTCTGATTTCCTGGCAGATTAGTGACTTCCATATTCCAAGCATTTGCATGAAAAGTGTGCCTAGGTTGACACGCTATTTCAGACATATTTGTTCTGATAACATAGTTAAAAAAAATCAAACTAATAATTTCTAAAGCTAAAAGAAAGTCGGGTAGGTGTTTTTTTCCTAAGAGAAGCTCTGCAAATTACTTAAAGTATACTTCCAAAATTATTTTTTAATAGGTAGTGAAGTTGAATGAGGACTTAAATTTGGTAACTCAGGAAAGACACCAGCTGCTGGGAGAACTGAAAAAGACTGAGGGTGAAAGCAGTAAACTTCCACAGCTGCAGGAACAATGTGATCTGTTAGTACGGGAGAGAGACCAGCTCCAGGAAATGCTGGAAGGTGTTAGAGCAGAGAAGAACCAACTGGAGATTAACCTACAGGAGAGTGCTGATAAGGTACTTCATCTTTGGTTAAAGTATAGTAACTATAAACGCTTGGTAGAGGAAGATGGCTCATTCTTGAAGCTGTCTTGAAAAATATCTTGAAGTATCCGTGTAAGACTGAAGAATGCTTTCACTTCTGTCTTGTGGAATAGTTTTTAAAGATGTATGTAAAGGTTTTTCCTAAATGCAGGCATTTTTTTAATGAATTTGATGAAATGGTACGTTTTGTAATTGACCTCCAAATTTTTGAAACTAAAGCTGACAAATTCTGACAAATGTACTTCTCTTCTGTCCTGCTGTAAAACTTCGGCTTCACTGGAAATTCAGAGTTTTAATGACAGGGATGCTAGTTCTGTAATAAGCTATCAAAGATAATTTAACAGCACTCTGACAATCAGCCCAGCTCTAAATTGTGTTAGGTAATGTTTTCTAGAGAGTACTTGATGTGAACCCCTACTCAAATTACATCTTTACTTTGTGGTGTTCATCTGTGTAAACAGGGATTGTAGAAAGTATGTCCAAATGTGTTTGTAGCAAACTTGGTCTAATTCTTTACATGACTAAGTGTCTATCGATGCGCTAACTGGCAGACTGTGCTTAGTGAAAGGAAAAAAATTCAAAGACAGGATTTAAAATGTCTTGTACTCAAACTAAAGCAGGTGTTTTGTGCCAAATATTTTGATTCCTATGAGGTTTTGAATGGCCTGTTGTGTGAGAGGTGGATTCACGTGCTATCTTGGAACTTAACATTTTATTTGTTGCTCTAATTTTACTCCAGATTCTCGAAACTGAAAAGGAATTGAAGCGGCAAGAAGAACTCCTCAGCAATGAGAAGGCCAAAGCTGAAGAAAGGGAAGAGCACTTGTTAAAGGTTCAGAGGCAGTCCGAGATTTTGGAGGACAATCTAACAAACCAGGTGAGGAGTTCAGCTTTTAGTAGCTGTTCTGCATTTCTGTTCTCTGATGTTTTGCTCAAGACAAATCCTATTTAATTTTTAATTGTCAGCACATAGGTTTTATGTGTGCTAACTAAGCATGAACATGGGCCAAGGACTTTGTACAAGTTGATTTAGTGATGTTTAGAAGTAGCATCCTCAACTTGTCTCAGCGTTATAACCAGCTGGGCTGGTCGCTCTGGTAGGAGGAACACTGATTTATCTGATGCGTGCAGGTTTAATATAGTAGTCCATGTACTTATTCAAACATTAAAAGGGACTGTGGAGATAGTGTGTACCCAAGTGGGTGTGGAATCCCTGGTGTTCTGCAGACTTTTAAACTTTATGTGCTATTTGGACAGTCTTGCACTTAGCTCTTGCCAACTCAGTCTTTTTGCAGTTTTCACTTCTTCACTTTTCACCTGCCAAACTCTTCCTTTGTCTCTAGATCAAAGGGTCTAATTAAGGATCGCTTCAAGTTAGCAAATGTGTTACTGTTCTATTCATTAGAGCAGATACAAAGACAATTCCAGTGCCTGTCTCTTCTGCTGATCTTCTATTTGTTTGCTTGTGATGTGGACGTATCTTTATTGCCTTTCTGTAAGGCAATTTGCTCTTGCTTTGCTGAAGACCAAAGTTGACTAGAGTTTTCTGGGTGTAATTCTATTCTTCTTCCTTTTAATTTCTGTTTCTGAGTGATTATTTATAAACTTTTCTTGCTGTTAGTGTGAATTTTAGAGTTATTGGAAACTGTTCTTTGTATCTGACACAACTGATTTGAGTACTTCATGGGGGAGTGTACAGACCAGCACCAAATCATAATTCTTGCTTTTATTCTCCATTATTCATTATAGATTCAACAGTTAACTGAGACTCTCAACAGCGTATCATGTGAAAAAGACCAGTTATTGGCTGAAAGAACTAGTCACTCTTTCCAACTTCAAGAACAAATCTTATCAATTAATCAAGAAAAAGATGAGCTACAACAACATCTCCAGGATGTCAAGTCTGAGCGGGACCAGCTCAAGACAGAATTGCAAAAAATATCCAAGATGGTTGGTGTTGCAGGTTGCATATTTCAGTTATTCATCACTTCTTTTCCTGAATGGTGCTTAAATACGTATGCTTTTATTTTAGTGTGTTGAAGCAAATGCAAAACTGGAAAATGCTCTAGACCAACTGAAGCAGAAGAGCTTGACTAAGATGTCCATTCAGGTGAATCCCCTGGATAATGCAGAGCAGATGGTTGATGGCAGCCTGGAGGAAAATACCTTGAAAATTAAGGTAAGCTTGCTTCTCTGCTTCTTTAATGGATGCATGCAAAACCTTAAGAGGACTTGTTCTGGAGCATAAACCTTGTTTCTATGTATAATCCATAAACTTGTTTGCACATCTTGCTCAGATGCTGCAAGCCATGGGATCAATGGATTTGCTGTTGCTGTTTGGTGTCCCGTGCATCCTGTTCCAAGAATGTTAAACTGAACTTCTCAGTTAAGACATCTCACTTGATTTTGTTCTGTCCAGCAACCCTAATGAAAATAACTTCTAGGGCTTGACTTGACTTAGCACTTAACTTGATCAACTAAAAGACAGTTTAGCTGCTTTAACTTGCTGCACTATTATAAATTTCTCATCTACCTATTATTTTCATGACTGAAGCTATTGTGGCTTCTGTTAGAGCCAAGCCAATCTGCTTGAATATAGCAATGCAGTGATTTTTATGGAGTTATAATGGCATGTTGGTTTTAAACATTCACTTTTGTCTGCCACTGAAGCACTGAAATTTGACTTCTAAGCAAAATGGATACATCCTTCTTTGCTGACTATAGCAGTAAAGAAATGGAGGTGCCTTCTGTAATATAATTCAGTTATAACAATCTTTATGCACAGATAGTGCTTGTGAAAGATGATCCAATAACACTCTTCAATCAGAATCTGATTTCCAGGGCGACAAAATCTAATAAATTAAAATATTACAGGGTCTTTTCCAAACTATCAAATTACTTCTACCTCTGCTAGAGGTAATTAGAAATATTAATACTGGTTCTTATTTGTTCTTTCAGCTCACTGAAGTAACTGAAAACCTGACTCGTGTCTCTTCTGAATATGCCAAGCTACTGACAGAAAAAGAAGAAATTGAAAGAAGCATGAATGAGAATATCCATCAGCAGCTTGAGCAAATCACTTTACTTAATCAGGAGAAAGATGAGCTACAGCGGGTGGTAGAGACCTGTAAAGCAGAAAGAGATCAGTTAGAGGCTGAGTGTCTGGAAAGCAAGGAGAAGGTATGTATAAAACCTCTTTAAATAATTCTTTTAAAGGCAGGTTGTTCCACTCCAAATCATTTTGGTCAAGAAGCCTTCTGCTAGTCAGTATCTCTTCTTCTCCCTTCACTTGCTTGTAGCAGCAGTAAACTCAAAATTGTGTTTACTAATCCAATCTGGATTTTGGAACCTTGTCTCTTAGTTTTTCTTCCCCCTGTCCCCTTCCTGCCCTGCTGGTCACTGCCGCTCTGGGTTTAGTCACAGTTCCCTGCCACCTGCTGGGCAAACACTCCACAAAGTCCCCTTCCATCTACAGTGTCTGCTTGTAGGACTGAACAGGAGAGGAGGTCCAGGTCTGCTGATCCCTAAGTGCTTAACTCTCCTGCCACTCAGCTCATTCTGGACTGATGGAGAGAAAGCTAAAGCCAGAAAAGAAACTGATCAGCTGTCCTAGTTCTCCTTCCTGATGTCTGATCTTCTGGTAGATTAGTGGCTTCAATATTCTAAGTATTTGCATGAAAAGTGTGCTTAGGTTGGCACGCTATTTCAGACATATTTGTTCTGATAATGTAGTTAACAAAAATCAAACTGATAATTTCTAAAGCTAAAAGGAAGTCTGGTAGGTGTGTTTTTTCCCAAGAGAAGCTGTGCAAATTATTTTAAGTAAAAGCTTTCATGTGAACTTTACCAAACCTCAGTCACAACCACTGATCTCTTTTAAATATGTATAGGCCAACTAATTTAGTAACTAAAATCAGCAAACTAGGAACATCAAATCTTTAATTTTAGATTTGGATCTTGCTACTAAACAATTAGACAAATTGTTCATGTAACTGGTGGCAGTTGCCACAAGAATAAGAGCATCTTTCATGTTGGGGTGTTTGGCTTGGTTTTTTTATGTCATTTACATAATCTGTTCTCCACTCCCCAACATTTTTCCCTTTCCTCTTTACTGCTACCTTTTTTCAATCCCCTCTTTTTAACACAGGCTCCCTCTGCCCCCTGCCCCAATTATTTGCAAAGACTGCCTTCCTCTGGCCTTCTTAAACTAGACATGGGGCAATGACAACTGGGCCTTTTTCTAAAGTATAAAACTGATTACTCTGATAGTTCTTTCCTGGACATTCAGATGGTTTGACTTATTGTTATCAGATAAGCAAAACAATCATGCTGAGTGAACATCCATGTAATACCTTGTTCTGCAGTCCTTAAAAGTTCTGACAGAAATGGAAAATCTACAGGAAGAACTAAAACATCAGAAAGAGCAAGTTGATATCCAGAAGAACCTGCTAGCAAATGGTGAAAAGATATTGCGGAACACTGAAGGAAAACTAAATGAAGAAATAAACAAACTGCAAGAAAAGGCAAGTGAAGTGATAAGAAACCCTTAGATATACCTTAGAGGATGTCCCCTCAAGGACTCATTAGAATAGCAAGTATTTACTCATTATAACTTCTGCTGGTTTATTGGTCTGATAGATGGTGTCATGATAACACAATTTAGCAGCAGAAGAGGAGTTTTTGCTAAGAGGTCTGTGTTGATTGTATGCTTCCAAAAATATTTTTAATAGGTAGTCAAGTTGAATGAGGACTTAAATTTGGTAACTCAGGAAAGGCACCAGCTGCTGGGAGATCTGAAAAAGACTGAGGGTGAAAGCAGTAAACTTCCACAGCTGCAGGAACAATGTGATCTGTTAGTACGGGAGAGAGACCAGCTCCAGGAAATGCTGGAAGGTGTTCGAGCAGAGAAGAACCAACTGGAGATTAACCTACAGGAGAGTGCTGATAAGGTACTTCATCTTTGGTTAAAGTATAGTAACTATAAATGCTTGGTAGAGGAAGATGGCTCATTCTCGAAGCTGTCTTGAAAAATGTCTTAAAGTATCCATGTAAGACTGAAGAATGCTTTCACTCCTGTCTTGTGGAATAGTTTTTAAAGATGTATGTAAAGGTTTTTCCAAAATGCAGGCATTTTTTAATGAATTTGATGAAACGGTATGTTTTGTAACTGACCTCCAAATTTTTGAAACTAAAGCTGACAAATTCTGACGCTTCTCTTCTGGCTGCAGCGTACCTTCCCAACAGCGCAGACGAGGGAGCTGCCAACTCAGTCCTTTCGCAGTTTTCACTTCTTCACTTTTCACCTGCCAAACTCTTCCTTTGTCTCTAGATCAAAGGGTCTAATTAAGGATCGCTTCAAGTTAGCAAATGTGTTACTGTTCTATTCATTAGCGCAGATATAAACACAATTCCAGTGCCTGTTTCTTTTGCTGATCTTCTGTTTGTTTGCTTGTGATGTGGACATATCCTTATTGCCTTTCTGTAAGGCAATTGACTCTTGCTTTACTGAAGACCAAAGTTGACTAGAGTTTTCTGGGTGTAATTCTATTCCTCTTCCTCTTAATTTCTGTTTGAGTGATTATTTATAAACTTCTCTTGCTGTTAGTGTGAATTTTAGAGTTATTGGAAACCATTCTTTGTATTTGACACAACTGATTTGAGTACTTCATGGCCTGTATCAGGAATAGTGTGGCCAGCAGGAGTAGGGAAGTCATCATGCCTCTCTGCTTGGCACTGGTGAGGCCTCACCTTGAGTACTGGGTTCAGTTTGGGGTCCCTCACTACAGGAAGGACATGGAAGTGCTGGAGCATGTCCAGAGGAGAGCCACCAAGCTCGCGAGGGGTCTAGAGAACAAGTCCTATAAGGACAGACTAAGGGAACTGGGCATGTTTATTTTGGAGAAGAGGAGGCTGAGGAGAGGCCTCATTGCCCTCTACAGCTACCTGAAAGGAGGGTGTAGAGATGTGAGTGTTGGCCTCTTCTGCCAAGGGAGTAATGCCAGGATCAGAGGAAATGGTCCGAAGTTGGGGCAGGGGAGGTTTAGGTTAGATATTAGGAAGAATGACTTTCCTGAGAGGGTGGTCAGGCACTGGAACAGCCTGCCCAGGGAGGTAGTGGAGTCACCATCCCTGGAGGTATTTGAGAAACGTGTAGACATGGCTCTTCAGGGCATGCTCTAGTGCCCAAGATTATTGGTTAGTGGGTGGGTGTGATGTGGTGGGGTGTTGTGCTTTTTGTTCTGTTGGTTTTGTTTTGCTGTTGGGTTTTTGCGTTTTTTTGAGGACTCTATCTCAGAGGTCCCTTCCAACTATGGTGATTCTGTGATTCTATGGGGGAGTGTACAGACCAGGACCAAATCATAATTCTTGGTTTTTTTCTCTACTATTCATTATAGATTCAACAGCTATCTGAGACTCTCAACAGCGTATCATGTGAAAAAGACCAGTTATTGGCTGAAAGAACTAGTCACTCTTTCCAACTTCAAGAACAAATCTTATCAATTAATCAAGAAAAAGATGAGCTACAACAACATCTCCAGGATGTCAAGTCTGAGCGGGACCAGCTCAAGACAGAATTGCAAAAAATATCCAAGATGGTTGGTGTTGCAGGTTGCATATTTCAGTTATTCATCACTTCTTTTCCTGAATGGTGCTTAAATACGTATGCTTTTATTTTAGTGTGTTGAAGCAAATGCAAAACTGGAAAGTGCTCTAGACCAACTGAAGCAGAGGAGCTTGAATAATATGTCCACTCAGGTGAATCCACTGGATAATGCAGAGCAGATGGTTGATGGCAGCCTGGAGGAAAATACCTTGAAAATTAAGGTAGATTTGCTTCTCTGCTTCTTTAAAGGATGCATGCAAAACCTTAAGACCACTCGTTCTGGAGCATAAACCTTGTTTCTATGTATAATCCATAAACTTGTTTGCACATCTTGCTCAGATGCTGCAAGCCATGGGATCAATTGATTTGCTGTTGCTGTTCGGTGTCCTGTGCATCCTGTTCCAGGAATGTTAAACTGAACTTCTCGGTTAAGACATTTCACTTGATTTCATTCTGTCCAGAACCCTAATGAAAATAACTAGAAGCACTTCACCATTTTGTTCTTGCAACCCTCCTCCCAGGATCCTCCCTTCCGTTACTCCCCATCAAAAATAAGTTGGTTTCCAGTACATTAATTTCATTAAATAGCTTCTCTCCTCAAAATAGGAAGCTTCTGTAATTCCTCAGAGCTTCTGTTAAGTAACTATCCTGAGCATATTTTCTCACATGTGAGAAGTATTTCTAAAGTACTGAAAGCCAAATAAACCAAGATTTTTGAATATGTATGAATCTCTTTAAAGAGTACCATTGTCCTGCAGTCTGTAATCTGTGCAGCAGATTTGGGCATCCTTCTATTTGTGTTAACTGAAGACATACTCAGGGATTTTTTTCAGTTAACACCAAAAGTGGTAAGGGAACAAATTGCAAAAATCAGTTGTGTAGCTTTTTCCATTCATGCTGTCTTTTTATCCTACCTCAGCAGTAGGGAGCTAATAACATAAATTGATCCCTTTTAATGGCACTCTCCCCTTCTGACTTTTGTAATAAGTAAGATGTTGTCTGCCTGTTCCTTGTCCAATTTTCTCAAGTGTCTTGTACTTGCTGCTGGTGGATGCAGGGGTATGTTATTTCCCCCTGGACACAGAGGATAGTTTTTACTGTAGAGTGAAGAGTTAAACTGATGAATCCTCTTTCTTTCAACTAAGAACCACAGATAGAGGTAGTATGCCTAGGAAGTTTTATACTTTAAAATGTATAACCCAGCTTCATATGTGATACTTGAGTTAGAGTTTACCAGGAGTGCCCTTGAGCCTATTGTGTTTCTCAGCCTGCTCACTGCTTGATCACATCTCCCTTTTTATGGCAGAGTGCTAGGAACCATTTCATGATCCCTTTCTTTCAACAAATGACAAAACAGACCAACTTGGGAGCCAATCCTGAAGGCAGCCCAGCTTGTGAACAGGCAACAACTTCATTTCAGGCCTGAGCCACAGGTCTCAATGTGGCTAGGTAGTCCAAATCATCAAAATAACTTAAGCTTATGAAACATGATTTTTCTGGAAAACTAAGAAATTCTCTGCTTTTGTGCCTGGCTTAGTGGTTTTTGACAAGTCTTAGTGCTGTTAATTTTCCTATTGTAAAACCAATCCATATTATAGGGGTTAGTCCTGGAGTCTGATGGCTTATTTTAAGCTTCTGTTTATAGCTAATCACTCTTTTCCTTATTGTGACTAAACGAGTTTGTTTCCCTTGCATTTAGGAGCTTCTTGAGAGATTCCTAGATATAGGGAAGAGGTATGAATGTCTCTCAACAGTGTCTCTTGATCTAAAGAATGAACTGAATAGTCAGAAAGCACTGATAGCTGTGATATTGGCCCAGCTTTCATCGCAAGAGAGCAAACAAGTCCAAAGACTTCAAACTGAAAATGAGAAAATAAACGGTCATCTCCAGAGTTTATTGAACAAACTGAAGGTACCAACTTAAAACGCTGAATATGTGGATGCTTCATATTGCTTTGCTTTGGTTTCTTTTTGTAAGGTCTCAGTATTAACAGCTAGGATTCTATATATTCTAACTTTGATTTTTGTGAATGTGTATCTTGTGGAAAACAAATTAACAGTAAATGTTTTACAATCCTGGAAAACTGGAACTATTTACTTAAGTTAATCAACCTTAGTTTTTGACTGTAGCTCAGCTGCTTTGCACAGTATTATTTCATTAATATTAACCCATTTTAATTGGGAAAAAGAAATTACTCCACAAATCAAATTATGGGCCCCTAAATATCTATTTATTGTGGGGGAAGGAGACATGCAAGATGCCTGGGAGATGCATGTTCACTCTGCAAAACTACCCAAGTAGTTTGATAACTTCTGTAGCCTTGCAGACCTTCCCCAATGTGTAGCTCAGTGATTCCAATTATCAGAAAAAAAGTTAAGGGGGGTTGGGAAATGATTCCTGTTACCATATTGTTTACTGTACTTTTGCATAAAGTTTTTTCTGTTTCTTTATTTACATTGAAATGTTAAGGGTTTGGTTTTTTTTCTTTGTGGGGTCAAAGGAAGAGTAGACCTGGGGAGAAAGCAAGGTTCATGTCCAATATACAAAAATACTAGATATGATCTTGAAAGTCAGTTCTCTCTAAATATCTATTAGCTAAAAAGTTTAACAGGTATTCTAAAGATCCTTATTTTGTAAGTTCACTTAGCTCTTTTAGGCTTCGATATTTTTCTTTTTTCCATAGATGCCTTTCAACTTTTATGGTTTAAGATGTTGAAAATATAAGTAGGGATGTCAAAACGGTCATACTATTCTTGGAGATAATTTGCACCTTTCACAAATCTAAGAAAATAAATACAGCAAAGAATAGATTGCTTTTCAAAGTCTAGATTAATAGAAGGCTGTCTAGAGCATTTTAGACTTTTTGGCCTTTTTAGGAGTCTGCGAAAAACAGCATAATTTGCAAATGCTGAGCCAGCTAAAAGCCTTATATGCCATTGCTATACTTAATTGCTATACTGAATTGCTGAACTTAATTTTCTTAGTCATGTTTTAGTTCTCCTGGACACCTATGGATTAGGAGAGTAGATGGATTTAATTATAAAATACAGAATTTTAGCTGGATGCAGAGTACCATTTTAAAGCATACTCACTGATATATCCTGTGTTTCTACAATAGTTTCTGTTCAGTCGTGTTTGCCTGAAGAAAAGAGAATATTATACTACTGTTAACAAGTATGAAATGGAATTCCTTGAGGAAAAGAGAAAGCAGGATCAGCTGCGAGCTCAGATTCAGTTTATCAGGAAGACTTATTTGAACCAGAATGAAATATCTTCTCAAGAGCTAAACACCAGTGAATGGCTGCAGAGTTTGCACTTGGATGCAGAGGTAGTATTGGAAACAATTTTCAGACAGAAAGACTTGCCTATTTCAAAGAAAGGGGTAATGTGGTGGTGCTGATCTCATGGCATTGCTTTTATTTGTTAAGGCTTCACTTAAGAGGGATAAGAATTCGCTTTTGGTGCAACTAATTCTATCATATTAAGATTCTGTTTTATAAAATGGCTCAAAGTGAAATTATTAGGTTATAAAACAGTGGGTATGTTATTTAATCATTTGCTCTGTAAAATGTGAACTGCACAATACCAAGATGACTTCTAAAACAATGAGATAAACTTTAACTAACATGCATGTGTTTTCCCCTTTCCCCTTCCTAACTGCTTCAGTAATACAGATTGTCTTCTCATTTTCCCAACAGGGTGTAATTTAAGCAGAGCAAAATTCCTTTTATATGATAATTGGATGCTTAAACAGACTTCCTGCAAATATTGATAGCTAAGAGGGCAAAATGCATATTTAGAGATGTAGTTACCAAAGCAATATTTAAACTTAAATTCTCTTTTTTTTTTTTTAAAGAGTATTCTCAAAGACATATCAGAAATGGAAAGTGAACTTCTCAGCATAGAGGCAGAGTTGCAGCAGGAAGAAAGTGCTAGAAAAGAAACAGCACGGTTCTGGGAAGGGTGTTCAGGAACCCTCTGTGATGCAGAGGAAATTAAAGAAGAGTTAAAGAAAGACAACGAAAGGCTTTTGCAAGTCATTAAATTCTGGACTCCTAAAGTAAAGGTAAAGTTAAATCTTCTTTAATCAAAAATGTATTTTGCTTAAGCCCTCTGTAAATGCCTCTAATCTGAGTGCAAACAAACCACCAAAAAAGGGGCTATTTGAAGGTAATTCATGCTTGTCAGCACTTACTATATTCATACTTATCTGTAAAATGTAGGAATACTTCAAAGAAAACTTTTAAAGACTTCTTTCCTTGTCCATTCAAACTTGGAAAAACTTGGAAGCTTGCTTTGTAAAAGACTTAGGTTCAAAATTGTTCTATAGCTTTGCTTGCCGAACTTGGCAGCCTGATACACTCACTTTCTCCAGGCTTTATGCTCACAAGATTGTCTGCTCTCTTTAAGCCAACTTTATCAAAACTACTTTAGCCACTTTAAAAACTGAACTGTAACTTATAATTTTGCACCTGTTCTAACTTCAGAAAGTCAATTTATTCTAGAGGTGCTTCAGCCTTCTTTTCTTAAGCCAACTTTATCAAAACTACTTTAGCCATTTTAAAAACTGAACTGTAACTTATAATCTTGCACCTTTTCTAACTTCAGAAAGTCGATTTATTCTAGAGGTGCTTCAGCCTTTTTTTCTTTCCTCCTTATCTCTTGCCTGCTATCGGGGGGAAAAAAGACAAATGTTTTACTGGGTTAGGTGCACCATGAACAGGATTTCATGAGATTTCATCTCTCTGAATGTATTGAACAGTTTTCAGAAAACATGTTATGGAAGGGAATCTACTACCTTCTGATCAGCTGTAAGGGACAGTTTTCTGACCAAGTGTATTCTGGAAGTTCCTGGTCTGTTCATACTTTTATTTCTTCCGCTAGTGTTGCTCTGAAGTATGAAGAGCTCATCACTGTCCTTCCCCCAGTGTTGTGACTCAGTTCTGTCCCTGTTAAGTACAACCTATTTTTAAGTTTCCTCTCTAGAGTCAATAGCCAGCCCTGATTTCTTCAGGATTTCCCAACATTGGCTGGCTATTTGGAAGAATTCCCTAACAGACATATTATATTTTGTCTCAAATTGTTTCACTTACTATAGTCAATTAATATATTCTAGCCAAAACCAAATAATTGTGTTTGGTTCCCTTGCTGATGCCCAAGAAGTCTTTCTGATATAGTTCCTTTTTTTCTGTGATGTTACTGTTTGTTTCACTTAATGCAGAAATATGGGTAAACTTGTAATCTTCTCTTCTGCTCCTTCCTCCATCCCCCTTTTTTGGAAATGAAACCAGACTTTTGTGAGTGTTAGTGATTCTGTTTCTGATGGAAAGTGTCTTCAACACAGATACTGAAGCAAGAATGTGAAATTCATACAGGCCTGTTTCTTCATTTACCTTATTTCTAGCTGAATCAAAAATTATTTAAAGCTTCTCTTTATGACACCACTTATTTTCAGATACTCCTTCAACTGTCTTCAGAGCTGGATGCCAGAACTGCCAGTTATTGTAAAAATGCTGATGGTGAATCGGAACAGAGAAAAGAGAAAAGTAAAGAGTTGCTTCAGGAACTAAACTCTCTTAAAGAACAGCTGGCCCCCGGTGGCTCTGCCAGTCTTGCATTAGAAGAAGAACACTATAGGCTTCGTAGCAAATTAAAGGCTGCAGAACAAGATATAAAGGTACCATTATTTGTTTCTAAAGAGAACTTCTTTGATCCTTGTTTTCTAAGTGAGAGTGCTGCAAACAGAAAAGAAAATAAAGGTTGATGGCAACTATAAATCTGTGCTACGTGAGACACTGGCCCAGAGTGCACTTAATTTTCGTAGGTTTTTTAATTCCCAAAGAGAAAGTTTGAGCTCTTGCCTGTAATGTGATCATTGAAATTTCTCTGTTTGCTGTACACAAACAAATGTCACTTTAGAAATCCATATGAAATGTTCCCATTTGGTCTTGCAGTATTGATTTAAATGGTGTGATACTTTTGATGCTTTCTTTAAGTATATGGTATTCACTGTGTCAAACTGGAAGCTGGAGAAGAATTCTGCCTTTAATCCTAGGAACTGAGGACTCGTTTTGTCTGTGTTCTATTTTTTTTTTTAATGTTACAGTTACTCTTGTTCAAAGCATTTTTTCACTCGTTTTGTCTGTGTTCTATTTTTTTTTTAATGTTATAGTTACTCTTGTTCAAAGCATTTTTTCTGAGTGTTCCAGAATACTAAAAAGTGACATAAAGCAGTGAGGTAGACACAGAGTTGCCATAGAGCCTATGATGTTGAAATACTTTTTGTGTGTGGTTTGGGTTTTTTGGTTGTCTTTTGTTAAGAATATGACCATGTACTGTTACTGTTATATCTCCTGGTATAGCTGCTTATAACTGATTGATATATCTCAATAGGCTATGGAAGGAAAAATTCAGGAGCTGGAAAACGTGATAAATGAAGTAAGAAAAAACGTCAAAGAGAAAGATGACAAGATAAACAAGTTACAAGCACAGATAAGAATGAAAACAGACACAAAAGAGCTCAGCCAACTGCAAGAGAAACTGAATGCAACAGAGAAGCATCTCGGAACTTCCTTAGCAGAAAACCAGAGACTTCAGGTATAAGCAAAAATTTTGAAGCTGAAGCATGAGTTGTTTTTCTGTGTAATATATTTGCGTACTAATTCAAAATTCCCAGACTTTTATCTGCAAACAAGTCAGCAAAAGTAGTTAAAATGTAATGTACTAGAGTTAGGATACCAACTAATACCATAGTGCTAATTGGTATTGTTCTTACTCCAAAATAACTCCTGCTCCCAATCTTGGCCTGCAAAATCTAGCAACCCTTAAAGTCATTGTTAAGTAACAAGCCTTTCTTCGTGCTAATTTTTTTTTATTTTATATTCAGGCAAAATTAGATAAAGGTGCCGAGTTGTACAAAGAAGAAATTGATAATCTCAAAACACAATTGGTAAAACACGATATGGAAAGAATGAAGCAATCCAAATCTTTTGATACGCAGTAAGTTCAAGTTTGACCTTCTTACAATTTTCAGTTACTTAGTTCTTAGTTTCTACTTTTCTGTTTATTTTTTCCACAGAATAAGAAGTGAGCGTTCAGCTTTAGGTGTCCTAGGTTTTATTGCAGCTAGGTTCTAGAGAAAATAAAAATCACATGCATCTCGGGTTGATTACAAAACTCCTTCCCTATACACTCACCCAAATTTCTCAACCATCTATCTTCAGCTGTTATGTCAAAAGAAGATGAGGGGAAAGCAGTAATTGCAATCGCGCTCTAGTTCACTGGAAAGAAGGGATACAGAGAGAATAATTCTAGTCCAACTTTCAGGTTTCTGCACTTCACTGAAAATCTAACTGACATGTTTATGTAGTTAAATCATGTTTATGTAGTTTTACCTATATAACTTGGGTATGTTTGCATTTGGTAGCTCATTTGGAAATCAAGCTATCTCCCCCGCAACTGTAATAATTATTAAACCGAGGATTTCTTTATATTTTTCCTCTCTTCCTGCCCAATATAGACTTGCTAATTATAAAGCTGTCGCAGAACACAAAGAACAACAGTTAAGAAAGCTAAAAGAAGAACTTAGAAGGGCACAGCAAGACCACGATGTTACTGGTAAATTCAAGATAAATATGCGAACTCTTTTGTGCTAAACATTCTGTTTTAAGTTTGTATGGTTAAAATCCAGATTGAGATGCAGGCCTTTTCTCTCAACGGGTATGAGGAGGATTGGATGCTTTAGAAGATGAAAAGGGAAGTAAAATGTTAGCTGTGTGTATACTGCATTAGAATCCCAGTAGTTCTTGTGTTTATTTCTCCAGCCATCTTTGTGCTCGTGGGTGGGGTGAGCTGCAGTTGTAGTAGCTCATGTGTCTATTTTTCCCTGGGCTGACTTGGCATACAAATAGCTAGGTCTAATCATGAATATGACATACCTGAAACTAACTATTCAACTCTACATGGCCCAAGGAAGTCTCTCTTAAGTTACTTAATATCTCCCTGTCAGCGTGAATACCAGGAGGTGTGTTTGTAAGAAAGAATAGCTCTTGTAATGGCACTTGTAACCTGGTGCGGTCTTGCATATAAGACCATAGGAAGGAATAGGCTAAAAAATATATTGACTTGGTTTAAACCACTGTCCAAATAACGCGTACATCCATATAAAACTGTTTTCTACCAGTGCTGGAAAAAGAAGCTCCTCGGCAACCCCAAATGGCCCTAACTTGTGGTGGTGGCAGTGGTATCGTGCAGAGCACACAAATACTTGTTCTAAAATCTGAACAAGCGAAGCTACAGAAAGAGAACTTGCACCTGAAGAAACAAAATGACCTTCTACTAAGGTGAGTAGAAAGCTGATCAGCAAGGTGTCAAATAATTTGTTGCTATTTAACTATGTATGTCATTAGTGTTTCTTTCTGGTAGATCTATAGAAGTAATTATTATTAATTTTAGATTTGCTAGTTTTTTCATAAACTCTTAAAGCTAGTGATTTATTGTTTTTATGTATCTATGACTTTTGAAATTGAAATTGCTTTCTCTCATAAGAATTCATTAAATGATGGAAGATATACTGAAATTGTATGTTGAGAGGAATTGTAGCTTAAATTTAAAACAGTAGTAGTAATTGTGCGTCTGAAAGCAAGATACATAAATATGGTCTTGCATTGCCATGTCTGTGGTGTGTTGTCTGAAGATACAGGGACTGTCTGTTGTCAGGAATTTTTCCTTATTAGAGGGAACTACTTTAAATTCTTCTTAATTAAATTCTGGGTGTTCTTTTTCTTTTCAGTAATGAGCTTCAGCTGAAAGGGGAACTTAGCAAATGGAAAGAAAGAGCACTAAAATGGAAAGAACGATCCTCAAGAGAAATCACTCGCGATGCAGTACCAAGGTCTCCAAGGAAGACAGTGCCATACTCTCTTAAAGAGCAAATGCCTTCTCCCTCCAAGGAGCCTGTTTCTCAGGAAACTGTGGCTCAGAACATATCACAGCCTCTGCCACTGACTTGTCCAACCAATTTATTTGATAATTCCAGCTTGGATTTGCAAACAGGTACATAATGCAGTGGTATTGTCCTATAAAGACTTCAAGAGGCAAAATACAGGGCGTGGTCTGTGAGTTGAGGGTAGATGCTCTGTACTTTATATATTCAGACACGAAACTTGCACAATAACACAATTTTCTGGAGTAGTTAGTCAGCTGACTGTTGAAGGGCTGACCAGCTGCAGCTGTGAAGCTTATATATGCTCTACAGAACCTAAATACTTAAATGAGTCTTTTACCCCCTGAAGATGATGCAAACTTTTTTCCTTTGCTGCAGTAGAAGTGTTAATGACTGCCTTTAAAAAGTGAATTAGCAGAGTATCATTACTAGATAGCTGATGCTTTAAAATGTTGTGCTTTTTAACTTTACATGGGTTAAGCACAGACTTTTAGCAAAACTATTCAAAGTTAGTTCTAGTCGACTTTTTTCTAAACTTTATCATGGTAGACTTTAGTCTTTGATGTTGAATCTGCCAGTCTGCCTGGCTCTAGCTGTTTTGGTTACCTTCTGTTCCTCAGCCCTTCTTGGGACTTCTTATATCTAGCCTGGTGACTTCTGGGGAAGTCTTCTACTGATCTACACTGGTATATTAATGCTGCTGCCCTCATCATTACACTTGCTTCTAGAAACTTTCAGAAGGCCCCAGCAGACATGTTGAAGAGGTAGCCCAGTTTTCTACACTTGCTTCTAGAAACTTTCAGAAGGCCTGAGCAGACATGTTGAAGAGGTAGCCAGTTTTTAAGTTATTAAAGGCAGACTTGTGAAGAATAGGACTCGTTGCTGTTTCTTGTGATGGCCAACTTGATAATAGTACAGACTTCCTCACGACACAAAGCTCCTCAGAGGCAAGCTTTGGTAGCTGACATTTAAAACACTAATCAAGATTAAATTGCTGTATTCCTACTGCTTGGCTAACTGGGAAAGTCTAAGTGTTACTTTAATGTTCTTGTCTTCCTTATAGATATACAACCTGCAGGAGCAGAGCCCAAAGAACAACTTAAGCACTGGTTTGGAACTTCAGAGAAAGATAAAGCCCCTGATTGCATCACCCAATGAAGATGCTCTTGCGTAAGCTGCCTTTGCAGTGGCTACAGCCAGAACCTGCATTTACAAAATTCACTTCAAGTAAAAAGACATCAGCCTCTTCCACCAATTGTGGGAAGAGCTCCAATGGCATGCGAAGGCTTGCTGTCTTGGAGTTGCTACTTCCAACAATTGGAAAAGCTGGAATACAAGAACAACAATGAAAAAGCAAATCACGTTGCCCCGCAACCTGCTGATCTGATGATGTTCCACTTCCATGGGTTTTTTTTTGGATGGCAAAGAAAGAAAAGCCAATGTACTGAAGAAAAAAGATGGAAACGGGAATGGATCGCAAACTAACCTACTGTGAAACTTTTCTCAATCTTAAACTTTTTATTCTGTCACTTCTAAAACAGCCCTCTTCTGGGTGGTCGATATCTGAATGTTCAGTGTGCTGTTGAGTTGGAAAGAATTATGCTTGTTTCTCAGCATATGGTTTTTATACCATGCTCTCTCTACGTCCATAGAAAACTGCATTTTCACCACAACTGTAACCTCTCTTTCTGGACGTTGCAACTGAAGTTACTAATTTTCTGCTTATAAGGGCACACAACCAAGGGTTCCTCTTAAATTTCCTTTGCTATTTCTGCAGCTCAGCCAATTATGGTGCCAAGAGTAACTTTTGTCTTTTGTATCATCTTTCAATATACTTCTACCTTCTGCCTGAAGTAGGCTATTGGAATTTTTTTTTTAAGAGTAAGCAATGGACCAGGCACTTTTCTGCTACTCTAGAGAATTGAAAATAGACTGGACGATCGGGGCTGCAAGACTGACTATTTTACTAGCCTGCTTCTCTGCATGGTGAAACCTATTTTTCTATGTTTTGTATAAAAAGGTTTGTTTTGACAATAAACTTTAGTGTGCTAAGTATTTAAAAATAGTTTTTCTGGTCACTTCACTTGCACTATGATTTAAGGATGTTGATTATGTTATTCAGTGTCTAAAGACTGTCTCCTACAGGGATTTCATGACTTGAATCTTATTATAGTTTTTGTCTGTTACCTATAACTTTGCAATAATTACTTTGTGCAGATGTTTACTGTTGCACAAGTCTGTCACTGTTTTATTTAATTCTTCTTTCTAACTGAATCTTTGTCTGTCAGGAGATGTTTGAAGTCTAAAAGGTGAATCCTCCTCCCTTTCTTCCCACCCATGGCCTCCGCTGCCAATTAAATAGAAATTTAGCACTCAAAACCCGAGATCAACTCCATTAATCATGAGATGAGAAAGTCATACCTAACAAAGATACTTGCATCAAAAGCATCACCCTTATTTTACAGACATAAAGCTCTTAAATGAGCTTTTAAGTACTCCATTTTGGGTTACCCAAACTGATAAGCAAATTGACATGTTTCTGGGCACTCAGCAGTTGCTGGAACTGGAAGAGTTGCCTGATGTACCTGATGAAGGTACTTCGTTCTGTTGGGCCAAAGCAGGTTCAGCTGGAGCATGAGAACAGGAATGTATCCAGGCTGGTTTTGAGTATCTCCAGAAAAGGAGACTCCACAACCTCCCTGGGCAGCCTGTTCCAGTGCTCTACCCTTAAAGTTTTTTCCTCATGTTCAGGTGGAATTTCCTGAGTTCCAAGTTTATGCCCATTGCCTCTTGTCCTGTTGCTGGGCTCCACTGACAGGAGTCTGGCCCTGTCCTCTTGACACCCATCCTTTAGGTTCATTAAAGAACCAACTATCTTTTTACCTTGAATAGCTGAAAACTCTGCCAACTACTAAGAAATCACATTTATCTCTAAATCTCTGACCTGGAATGTATTTGGGGAAGCTTTTAAAGATGTTGCTGGCTAAAACTACACACATTCTAAATACCGTTACTGAGTTCAGCACTGCAATGGCTCCTTTCCTACCACAGCCAAAGGGATGAAGGAGCAATGTACTTCCTGGCAGTGGTAAGTGCAAAGTGCTGCTTTTAAAGATGTTGCTGGCTAAAACTACACGCGTTCTAAATACCATTACTGAGTTCAGCACTGCAATGGCTCCTCTCCTACCACAGCCAAAGGGATGAAGGAGCAATTTACTTCCTGACAGTGGTAAGTGCAAAGTGCTGCTGTTTGTGTGGTGGGCTTTTTGTTTTGTTTTAGGGTTGGTTTGTTGGGGGCTGCTTTGGTGTTGGTTTGTTTTCAGTTTCCCACTGTGGATGAAAGAGATTTTCTTTGGCTACCAGCTTTTTTTTTTCTATTTTGTCCTTTTTGGTGTTCTAATAAATTAATTAAACTGACCTTTTTCTTCTAAGAAAGAGGGAACAAGGTGTATATAGCTCTACCTCATATATATTATACATGTTATATAATATATATTTGGGGGGAAGCTTTTAAAGATGTTGCTGGCTAAAACTACACGCGTTCTAAATACCATTACTGAGTTCAGCACTGCAATGGCTCCTCTCCTACCACAGCCAAAGGGATGAAGGAGCAATTTACTTCCTGACAGTGGTAAGTGCAAAGTGCTGCTGTTTGTGTGGTGGGCTTTTTGTTTTGTTTTAGGGTTGGTTTGTTGGGGGCTGCTTTGGTGTTGGTTTGTTTTCAGTTTCTCACTGTGGATGAAAGAGATTTTCTTTGGCTACCAGCTTTCTTTTTTCCTATTTTCTCCTTTTTGGTGTTCTAAGAAATGAATTAAACTGACCTTTTTCTTCTAAGAGGGGTGGAGCAAGGTGTATATAGATCTACCTCTTTTATATATATTATATATATTTGGGAGGTTGTCAATTATTGCTTGCTTGGAACATTTCTAGATGTGGAGACTTCTCTGGTGATTGAGCTAAAAAACGGGAACCTATTGCAAGAGTTTTGTGTCTGAATTCAGGTGGCAAAAGACTGGGGACAGAAGGATAAATGCTTTTAGAAAACCTAGTCATTAAAGATTTTGTTTACTGGGGAGCTAGTTTACAGTGCCTTAGAGAGCTATCATAATTTAACAGAAAGACGAGATAAACTTAATGAGCTTTGTATATGTGTGTCCCAGTCTACTCACAGAAATGGCTTTTCTGAGGAAAATGTGCCCAAGTGATGCTCTCCAAATTCTTTAAGGATTCTACCAGGGTAGCTTTAGGTCTGGTGTGATCTTATAACTAAATTAGTTTGTGCCAGAATTTTCCAGTCTGATGATATTAACTCTGCCTTAACAAATGTAAGTTAAACCATGAGATATGAAAGAAAAGTTAAGTTGGTAAATAGCCAGTTTAAGAAAAAAAACCCAAAATAACAAAATTCATCATGTAAGTATTGTCCTAGTTTGGAATTTGATAGCTTATATTGCTAAAGAGAGAGTGCTTGGGAAAAACATGTTTGTTGTGGTGGTAATCCTGCTGATTTCTTGATTTCTCTAGGGAGAATGAGTATCTAATGCCAGTGATCCTTTTTTCTCTTTCATGTGTAGGAGAAAATCAAACTTTTAAAATCTTGAGTTTCACTAGATGGCAGCATCTCAATGTTTCAACAGGAAATTACGTTCGCACAGAGAAACTACAAATCCCACAAACACAGCAAAAACAGTCTAAAACTTCCTTTTGTACAAAGGTCACTAAACACCCCACGCTGTTTGAGATCTCTTGGTGAGTGGCTATATTAATATTTATTATTAAATGCTTCACGGAATCAGTGTGGCAAATGTCCATTAAAAAAAACTGGTTGTTAGGATGAAAAAAATGTATTTATAGTGCATTTTGCTTCCAAAGTGTTAAGGTGACTTGGGGAAGTACTTGGAGTGATCGGGGTTTTTCCCCCCTGAAAAGATGTACGTGGTGATAAAGAATAAGAATGAGCTTCCTCTGCCTGGAGTGAGCACTTGGAGCTCGTTGTTGAGGTTCTTGGGACTTGTTACAGTTAATAGAACTTTTCCCAGAATTTTGTGTTGGAGAAGCTGCATTTTGGAAAAGCTCGGCACATCAGAGAGATGTTGCAACCTAGTTTTGCTTGGTGAACTTGGTATTTTTCACCTGTTGATGCAAAAAGGTTGTGCAAAGACACGTGCCCAGTCTCATACAACCTTGTAGTTGACTCTGACTGTCAGAGGCATCCCATGGGACGCCTTTTTACTAGCCAAATTAAAAAGTGATTTTAAGGTATTGTGTTTTCCTCTAATTAGAGAGGTGTATCTCAGTTCCTGTTTGCTTAGAAGACTGTTCTTTTGTGCTTTGTTTCTTTGTGTGTGCATGTGTGTCCCAATTATGGGGGGGGGAACCCTACAGTGAAACACTTAAATGTCTTGAAACATGGTCTGTAACTCAGTCTCACTTTAAATCAAGAGGCAGTGCTTTTTTAGATTAGGAGAGAAAATTGTTTTTCAGTTAAATCATAGGAAGTCTGGGTGGTTTTGAATCTGTAACAACATCAATTTTGCTGCAGGTCTTTGTGTGTGTGTGCATGTGTGTCCCAATTATGGGGGGGAAAACCTACAGTGAAACACTTCAGTGTCTTGAAACATGGTCTGTAACTCAGTCTCACTTTAAATCAAGACATAGTGCTTTTTTAGATTAGAAGAGAAAGATTTTTTTTTTTTTTTTTTCAGTTAAATCATAGGAAGTCTGGGTGGTTTTGAATCTGTAACATTAGTTTTGCTGCAACTTTTGTCAGGAGAAGTTGCTGAGAAATCAGAACTTCTGGTCATAATCAGAGAAATTAATAACCTGGTTTAAGATGTAGGACACTAAATTTGAGTCAGTAATCTGAGTCACAATGTGGATTTGAGCAGTTAGATGATGGCATTGGCTACTAACCTAGGGGAGATGATGGCATCTTTAACTTCAGTGAAGTATGCAGTATGTGGAATTCATTTCTATATTTAAAGACTTCGGGCTCTTGGGACACCTTTTTATGCTCATAGCTACATAAACAAATTTTGCTCTGTGGGTTATAAAAGTGCAGAAAACTTTGCTTCTTGGGAAGAGGGCAGTGTTTTGCTTTTTGGCTGCTATACATTGAGGAAGGTGGGACCTCCTAGAGGTTCCCCACTGCTTGCCCCAGGCATGCTCAGCAGATCCCTGAGAGAGGGGTGAGACAGGACAGAGCTTCCTTCCCCCCAGAAGATTCCGAAGACAATTCAGAGCAGGCACCAAGGTCAGAATATTGTGTGGGATTTATTGCAATCCAGGAAGCTGGTGAGTTTGTAGTTGGAGAGGAACAGAAGGCAGACCTGCTTTCTAAGAACACAATGACAGTGGGAACACTAGATTACAAACTATTGTACTTCTCTTTCATCTTGATGTTTTTTTAAATCTGTTTAAGGAACAATAAAGCCCAGTTTCTGTTCTAACAAAGCTTGGCTTTTTGAGCTCAAATGCCTTTTGATCTTTTTGAGTCCTCATGAAAAAAATAAATTAGAAGAAGAGGCAGTGCCCCTCTCAGAACCTGGATGACTTGGGGTCACACCACAATTAGACAGGCCAATCTCTGGCATGATTTGATGGCAGGGCTACTCTGAACCATGTCTAGTTTTTGGAATGCATTTGCATCTGATTCCCAGGGACTGTTGTTGACTCATCTTTTTGTTAAAATGTTGGTTCTGGTGACACCTTCTGTCTGCCCAGGTCAGCATCATGGGTCGGCTTGATGGGAAGACCATTCTGCTGTCTGCAGCAGCGCAGGGGATTGGACGAGCAGCTGCCATAGTAAGTTGGGAAATGTTTGTTGTCTTGTACCTAAGCTAGGTCTCCATCGCAGGCTCGTCCAAGGGCACCCACACCAAACAAGTTCTTGAGTTAATAAACCATAGATGAAGCCAGAACTACCCACTGAAAAAATCAGGGAAGAATATAGTTGCTATACTCTATCATGCATGCTTTGTGCTGTTTGAATTTCTGAAAGTCTTCAGCTCTGAGGAGTGACGTCAGGCAAGGATAAAGGCAAGATTTGAGAACAACTGCAACTGCTTTTTTAACAATATATGGTTGTACTGTCTGTACCTTTCATTGTTCTGGGAGGAGATAAGAAGGACAGAGGGAATATTTCCTGTTCTAAGGCTGGATACCACAAAGAACCTCTACAGTAGAGCCAATGTGTTTTATCTATGCTAATAATTGATGTAACCAAGTCTACATGATACTAACAGCACAGCTCTAACGTTGTTCACGATAAGCAACTGTGAGAAATCCTTTAATTACTTTGAAACAGAATTCAAAATATGTATTAACTTTCTGGTTAACTTTTCATTCCTTTTGACCTGTTCTCCTGCCCCTGCTATTTCCTTCTTCCACAGCAGACAGAGAAACAGGCAGGGCAATCTCAGTGTAATGTAATCAGTGAGGCAGGAAAAGCTCCTGTAAGTAGGATTTTTGCCAGACGAGTTGGTTTCTTATGCGTAGAGCCAGGAATGCAGAAAACTGCTGAGCCTGGCACTTTGAAACACTCAGTCAAAAGAGTAGGTAATTCTCCTGATGATTTCACTGTTGAAATACACAACAAGCCGTGGAAGGCTGACATGTCTAATGCCACCGTCCTCTTAAGCTGCACTTGAGACACTTATTTTGCAGATTAGGGGCTACAGTCTGAGATGACAGAATACTTTTGATGTGGAGGTTGCTCTGTTAGCACAGCTGTTGGTTTATCAGTAATCACAGTGCAGAGAAAGCAGGTTTAGGGGGGAGCATCAGGAATGAAGGAATATCTCTGGGGAAGGAGCAAAGAAAAGTCATGCTGCTTTTAATATTGCTCTAATCAAATGATTTGGATGCAGAGGATATGCATAAAGCTTATACCACTATTCCTTTTTTTATGACTCATGCCTTTACCTGTCAAACCCATAACTTCATTTCAATTCAATAATACAGGCAATTCTACATGTTTGTAATGTGTTTGTAACATGCTTGCTAGTGCACATGCAGCTAATAAGGGCAATAATAATACCAGTTGTCTTAGTGCTGTTACTGTTTTCATACAGTCCTTATTTTAAGGAAAAGATCTTAAATCTGTCTTATCATCTACAGTTATTTAGTTGTCCCCAGGATGTGTGCTAATTGATGTCCATTGCTTTCTGACATGCCCAGCATCAGAAGTGAGAGATAGGCTGCCTTCAGCCCAATTCTATTTCAAGCCAAAAAGGAAACGAAAAGAAAAGATTTTATTTCTGGTAAGATCTGGAATATCTAAATATAAACAACTTCTCCTTGTATTCAGGCTTTTGCCAAAGAAGGAGCCAAAGTCATTGCTACAGACATCAATGAGTCTAAGCTGCAAGAACTGAAGACATATCCAGGTAAACGTTCTACAGTAGGCATTAGTTCAGCTCTTGCAAGTTTTGTTGTAGACTGGCTGAAATATAAATTGAGGACAGGGCACGCTTCAAAAGACCAGGAGAAAAAATGAAAAATATCCAGACTAATTCTTTAAATGTTGGCATTGCTTTCTGTGATGTGGAAGAGCAGAGATGTAGCATGTAAAATACTGCAACATCAGCATATCAAACAGTATTATTCCAGGCACGTGGAATATTTCATTCTTGAAATAAAAAATAAGACTTGTATATCTTTGACTGAAAATGCTTTCAACTGAATTTGGTGGAAGGAAGTGGATTTAATGAATTCCTATTACAGGATGACAGTCAAATATGCAAAAGCATGTTTTCTGTCACAGCTTTTAGAGTGAACATCAGTCTCCACTGATGCTCCACAAGCAATCCCTTCGTATTTCTTTAGGAACTTTAGTACTTTCCAGGTTCATTCTGAGGGTGTTTAGAAAAGTTTTGTGTTTTGAATTGTGCAATTTTTTTTCACAAGGATAGAGCTAATTTTCCATATACTCAGAGCCATTTCCATCCTTTTGACACATGATTAGTTAAGCTATAATTCATCAAGGCTCGGCACATTGTAGTCTTTGAATTTTATCTAGGAGAGGTAATTCCAACGCTGATGTTAATCACCAGCCTGTAGTCTAATTGCATCCTTGTGCGCAAATCTCTTCAGAAGTGTCTTTATCATTGAACTAAGGTATATAAAGCCTGTTCACGGACCCATCAGTTTGGTTTCAAAAGAAACAGGTTTTTATTCATTTCAAATCAAATTCTCCCGTAATGTGTAAACCAGGTATTTCTGTTAGTAAAATGTAATGGGTTTTTTGGCTTAAAATTACTTGTGTTTTAGAAATATTCATACACATCACTCAGATGCTTTACAGTCTTTCATAGAGTCGTGTATATTGGATGAGACCCTTGGAGGCCATTTTGTCATGCCCACTGCTCGAAGTGGTGCTGCCCACAGCAGGTTGCTCAGGGCTGTGTTGAGTCAAGTTCTGAACATCTCCAAGAATGGAATTTCCTCAACAACCTCTGTAGGCCCCTGTTTTGCTGCAATTGTCCTCATGGTTTTAAAGTAGCAATAATTTAAAAACAAACATAAATACCCCACAAAAACCAAACACGCCTACACCCCGACTCTCTCTTTTCCAGTCATCCTTTGGATGGAAAAAATCATGTATTTGGGAAGGGGGCACAGCTCAGTCTTTACACACAGCATGGAGTGAGGGTGCAGGCAAAGTGTGTCATGAGGTAAGACTGTTCCATAATAAGGCTTCAGCCTTTACATGGGTGAGAGGAGCTAATTGTCTTAGATTACTGGAAGCTCCTTAAGTAAAATGAGATAAAATAACATGCAGATTGTATTACATCATATCATATTACAGAGTAATAGAGTAGAAGAGTAGTTCTTTCACTTTGCTCTTTTTGCTTCTGGCCAGGGAATGGCCAGTTCTGTTAGAATTCTGCTAGAGGGGCTGAATCTATTGAAAAGTGTTTAGAAGAGTTAAGCCTGACCCTGTTTTGCAGTAATTATGTTTCTCAATTTTTCAGAGATAACTTCCCTGAACAAAACAGAAAGGTTATGTTTTTGTGGTGGTGTGGTGGTGGTTTTTTTTGTTATCAGTGGCTGTCTTGAAGGTATGTCACTGTGTCTATAAGCACTGACAGTGACAGCCCTCAGAGGCTGAAATACATAGACACTTATAGTGAAAAGCAACACATTTCCAGCCCTCTTTTGTTTGATTATAAACAAATAATTGCAAAAATCTAAGCATCGTATTTTTGAACTAGCCTTTGTGATAGAAGCCATCAATTTGTTACACTTCCTCTTCATTTCTGTTATCGTGGCTATGACATCATTGCAAGTTATGTAAGTTTTTGGCTTATGCAAAATCACTTTTTCTCATTAATTAAATGGTATAAAGCTGATTCCTCGTATCCTCAACTACACATGGACAGATGGCATGTAATGTGGCTGAGTATATGCAATGTGTAACAATTTTCAAGTAATTATTACTCTAGAATAGCAGCCATGAAAGCTTTGTAATGATTACACAGGCTCTGAAATTCTTCAGTTTGAGAGCACCTTGGAATTCACATTTATTAGTAATGTTTTTTATGGTAAATGATGTTAGCTCATCTGTCTGTGTGATGCTGTATGACAATCAAATCAGTTGATCTTTTTTTAATTCCCTTCTGAAATTTTAAAATAGTCTGTTGCACTGACTTGAATCACAGATTCAAGAGCAGTCCTCAGTGCTTCAGAAAAATAAACCACCAGTCTTTAGCCAAATACACTGAAACGAGTACTGTGTTTTTCTAGGCATTCAAATACGGGTGTTGGATGTCACCAAAAAGGAGGAGATAGAAAATCTGGCCAAGGAGATTGAAAGGATTGATGTCCTCTGTAACATTGCAGGGTAACCAGCTTCTATCCTATTTCTTTGTCCAGTTTTCCCTGTCCTCTAAAAGTAGTTGCTTTTACTTAAATGCATTTTGTTTCAATTTTATATCTTTAACAGACATTTTCATGTGTTTTCATCAACGCTGAACTTTTTGTGAATAGCTGTGTTACCCAGGCCAAGGTAGAATGGCTCTGGAACGTGTTTTCCCTCTTCTGTGGGTGCTCTATACTGATGGCTTTGGCCCTCCTGGCACAACAGTGAGGGAAGGTGATGCTCTGCCAGTGCTCTGTCTTTTTTCAGTTTCCCTATTGCCAAACATTTCTTTGCACGTGTGAGATCTGCCTTGTCTCCCTGATCCTCATCAGGAAGAAATATACTGTTGCTTGCTTTCTTCCAAAGAGCACCTGTCCTTCCTTTTCAAGGTTAGGTATCACAAAATAGCAATGGAAAATATGCATTAAAAGTCATAAAAATGTAAATCACTGACAATAATTCACTTCTAGGTTTGTTCATCACGGAACCATTCTGGAGTGTGAAGAGCAAGACTGGAACTTCACTATGAACCTCAATGTTCGCAGCATGTATCTAATGATCAAGACATTCCTTCCCAAGGCAAGGCTTGGTTTCCTCAGGATTTTCAGTCTTTGCTGCATTTCATTTAAAGCGTGAGAGGTCTAAGTTGTTGCCACTGTGATAGCGTGGGGTTTGAGATGATAAAAAGGCAAGTATGCTGCTTTGGGAACCTTAGGTTATAGCAATCCTACTCTAAAACATTCTCTGCCTTGTGTAATCCTCCAAGTAGACGAGCTGTCTAAAGGATGTGGTAAGAGAAGATTAATTCAGGGGTTTTGCCTTCTGTAATTTGTAACTAAAATCCTTCAGATGCAGAGCAGCGAGGGAGCTGTTGCAATACAGTGCTACTGTATAATACTATAGCACAAAGCCGCACGATACCACTGCTACAAAATGTTTAAAAAATATGTATATTAATATGTATTTTATGCAAATCTGGAAACTACCTTGTGAAGCAACTCAGTGCCACTGATACCAACACACTGGTTGTATCAGAACAACAATCCAGTTGGTGTAGCAGCTTGAGGACGCTCACATTTGACATAGTAACTAGCTTTGGGACCACAAAAATTTGTGGATTGAATAAAGTGTTTGTATTCCTGTAAGTGCAAAGGCCAGAAGTGGAAGCTGTGGCCATGGCTGGTTGATGACTACTCTTTTCAGTGTTGTTTCAGTCCTTTTTGTTTAGGGTTTTGGGTTTGGTTTTTTTAGCTGATCTTCGTTTTTAAGGGTTCTTTATAACAACTTCAGGCATATCACATTTTGAGATGCCTAAAAATGTTGTAACTTAAAGAAATTTAACTGCGATTCAAAGATGCTAGAAAGTTAGGTTTTAGTCTTTTCCAAAGAAATGAAGAAGCGTGTTAGTGCATTTGTAGGTGGCATGAACAGAAGTCTATGTAGTGTAACTTACTGTGGTGATGAGAGAACAGTGATTCAGAGGTGGCTATTTGGGAAGAAAAATCTTTTCCTATCGTAGTCTTTGCCCCTGAGATGACTTAGGAGAACCTAGTGACAATTTTAGATTCTGCTTTACTACTTCAGTCAACAGATCAAAAAGAGATAAGCACCTATTCATGCCAATTAAGCTTTGTTACCCTGCGTATCAATTGCATGTAGGGCTGTTCTTTGGGTTATTATGGGCTATTTTGCTGGACCTGCAGATGACAAAATAGTCTGCATTTGAATGACATAAGTATTCTTTTGCAGATGCTTAAACAGAAATCTGGAAATATTATAAATATGTCTTCTGTGGCATCCAGTATTAAAGGTCAGTAGCTTGCTAGAAAGTTCACTATATAAATCTTTAAAATTATGGAAATGCAGAATAAGAGTTGCATGACATTGAATTAGAGGACACTGCTGATCCTACAGAGAGATGCAATTAAAAAGAAAAAAATGAGCACATCAACTGGTACATACACATAAAGACACAGATGGGAAATTGCAGAAACACTAAGATCATTGCCTTTGAGCTTATCAATCTGTCCTGAATGTTTTTAGCATCCTTTTTACCAGTTTGTATTAACTAAAAAGCCATTACTTCCAGTGATATCTTGCTACAGATGTTCTTCAAAGAAACAATGAAGAAATGACAGTTACGTAAGTGCCGTAGCTATGCTTCCTCAGGAAACCTGATGGTAACTACAGCTTGAGGACGCTCACATTTGACATAGTAACTAGCTTTGGGACCACAAAAATTTGTGGATTGAATAAAGTGTTTGTATTCCTGTAAGTGCAAAGGCCAGAAGTGGAAGCTGTGGCCATGGCTGGTTGATGACTACTCTTTTCAGTGTTGTTTCAGTCCTTTTTGTTTAGGGTTTTGGGTTTGGTTTTTTTAGCTGATCTTCGTTTTTAAGGGTTCTTTATAACAACTTCAGGCATATCACATTTTGAGATGCCTAAAAATGTTGTAACTTAAAGAAATTTAACTGCGATTCAAAGATGCTAGAAAGTTAGGTTTTAGTCTTTTCCAAAGAAATGAAGAAGCGTGTTAGTGCATTTGTAGGTGGCATGAACAGAAGTCTATGTAGTGTAACTTACTGTGGTGATGAGAGAACAGTAATTCAGAGGTGGCTATTTGGGAAGAAAAATCTTTTCCTATCGTAGTCTTTGCCCCTGAGATGACTTAGGAGAACCTAGTGACAATTTTAGATTCTGCTTTACTACTTCAGTCAACAGATCAAAAAGAGATAAGCACCTATTCATGCCAATTAAGCTTTGTTACCCTGCGTATCAATTGCATGTAGGGCTGTTCTTTGGGTTATTATGGGCTATTTTGCTGGACCTGCAGATGACAAAATAGTCTGCATTTGAATGACATAAGTATTCTTTTGCAGATGCTTAAACAGAAATCTGGAAATATTATAAATATGTCTTCTGTGGCATCCAGTATTAAAGGTCAGTAGCTTGCTAGAAAGTTCACTATATAAATCTTTAAAATTATGGAAATGCAGAATAAGAGTTGCATGACATTGAATTAGAGGACACTGCTGATCCTACAGAGAGATGCAATTAAAAAGAAAAAAATGAGCACATCAACTGGTACATACACATAAAGACACAGATGGGAAATTGCAGAAACACTAAGATCATTGCCTTTGAGCTTATCAATCTGTCCTGAATGTTTTTAGCATCCTTTTTACCAGTTTGTATTAACTAAAAAGCCATTACTTCCAGTGATATCTTGCTACAGATGTTCTTCAAAGAAACAATGAAGAAATGACAGTTACGTAAGTGCCGTAGCTATGCTTCCTCAGGAAACCTGATGGTAACTAACAGATGGGTCTCTACTGTTCCTGAATCTCTGTTTGCTTTGTTAACTTTTATAGACCACTCCCCAAAGTTATACTATCGAAAGATCGTGCGCTTTGCTCTGGTGTATGCCTGAGCAGAGTTCTGGCAGTCAGCATTCCAGGTAGCCCACCCTTATGGAGAGACTACAGGTGCTACAGGAAATGCTGGAGTCCAGAAGCGGGTGCATATTGAACAAACTTGGGGTTCTCTCTCTCTTTTTTTTTTTAAAAATATGTTTCTACCATCCTTTCACACTGACCTTCTGCTAGGAGTTGTGAACAGATGTGTATATAGTACTTCAAAGGCAGCAGTTATTGGTCTGACAAAGTCTGTGGCTGCTGATTTCATCGAACAAGGCATCAGATGCAACTGCATATGTCCTGGTAAGTATTCTTACATTATTTTATAAACTAGGAGCAGATGCTAGAAGGCCCAATTTAGTTTGGTATTATTAACAAAGAGTCGACTTGCAAATGGCAACTGAAGTTAACAGCAATCAAAAAGAACAGGATGTGCTTGAAACACTTCGGAGATTTAAAACAGAAAAGCTGTTACTTTTATAGTAAAGCTGTATGTTTTGTCTGTTAACCCAGCACATGCGCATTATATACATGTTATTTTCCAAGCCATAGTCTGGAAGTTAGAAGCAGGCAAGGGCTAGCCAGCAGGCTAGCTGTTGTTTAACCGTCTGAAAAGTACTGAATCTTAATCTCTTGCCTTTGACTGAAATTTAGAGCCCTATGCTACGTTAATAGTTCTGCAGCCTTTCTCCTGAATCATATTATGAAGTTAAACATAACTGTTAAGACATACAAACAGAACCAGAGAACTGCATTTTTTTGTCATGGTTGTTGATGCAGTTGATTTTTAAAATTGAATTTAAAATCTTGCTTAGGAACTGTTGACACACCATCTTTACAGGAAAGAATCCAAGCCCGGCCTAACCCAGAACAGGTGAGAAAGCAGTTTATTAGTTTGATCATGTGCGTATGTACATTTAACTCCCTCTAAAAAAAAATAAAAATAGAAAAGCAGCATCTCTACCCAGATTCAAGATTGTCCCCTGTTTCAGAGTACCAATGACAATGTAACAGTAGTGTCTCTTTTTGATAGTTTGGTCAATTTGTACTCAAGACAGAAGTCTTAAAAATGCCTGAGAAGAGTACTATTGCTCAGCGAATAGAGAGGGTCTGTCATCTAATGGAGGTATTTGCAACCAGTGGTTCCAGTATCTAGTGCAAAAGACATTTTTGACTTTGGCATGTGGCTACCACAAACTAGTGCAAAACCATGGTGGGAAGGGCATTCTGGCCTATGCACTTCAAAAGTATTTGGGATCCTTAACCATACTGACTAGAAAACTGTGAGCCTTTGTTTGAAGGGCCTGGGAATATCCACTGCCAAAGGAAGAAGGACTTATGTTGGCTTTATTCTGGAAGCAGAGATTTAGGAGAACCCCAGGCTCCTAGTACTTTTCAACCTGAAATTCATACCACTGTTGATCTTGCAGTTTCTTTTTCTGGTATAAATTTAAACTCCTTCCTACTAAAGGAAGTGATGACTCATGGCTTGTTTCCGGTATTGCTTTCTACACATCAGTCTAATTGGATTAAAATAACTGGTTTGGAGGTTTTTTTTATATACCAAATGCTCTTGTACATCTAGGCATTGAAGGACTTTCTAGCCAGACAGAAGACTGGTAGGATGGCTACTGCTGAAGAAGTGGCCCATCTCTTTGTGTACTTGGCCTCTGATGAAGTAAGTATGGAAGGATAAAATTGCCTGTAACAAAATCCCAGCTGCTTTGCTGCATCACAATAGAGAGAATTTGTTTTAGGAGGACTTCTCTTTTCTCTGAGTTGGATTATTACAAAAATAAAAACCGAGTTGAATTTTAGCATACAAAAAGCGCTGTGAATGTTGACAGTGATGGCTAAGGCATCACGTATTTGGTACCACTGAGGTTGTTCTAAACCAAACTCTTAATGACCAATGCAATTACTACCAACACTAATGAGCATGCAGCAAGGTTATTTCAGATGCTATAAATTTACTGAGTCTAAATTTGGACTGGATTCCTCTGGACTTGTCCAGCAGTCCTACTGAACATAACATAATTCTTTAATGGAATTAATTCAGTCTCAATGTTATCTATCAGTAACCTGTTTCTTGTTTTTGTCTTAGTTTTAATGTTTATGTAAATCTACTGATTTTTTTTCCCATTCTGGCTACAGAGTTTTCAACCAGGTGTAGGTAGAAATGCAGTTTTCCAATATATTCCAGTATACTTCAGTACTGGCATACCGAGAATAATGTCAACAGCTCGGTTGCATATATTATCTATCAGTAACCTGTTTCTTGTTTTTGTCTTAGTTTTAATGTTTATGTAAATCTACTGATTTTTTTTCCCATTCTGGCTACAGAGTTTTCAACCAGGTGTAGGTAGAAATGCAGTTTTCCAATATATTGCAGTATGCTTCAGTACTGGCATACAGAGAAGAATGTCAACAGCTCGGCTGCATTCCTCACTTTCTGCAGCATCTAAATTTACAGTTAGGTCCTCTTATAATCATTGGCTGACCTGGTCAGATTCTGCTCAGCTGAACAGAGCTAATAACATCATAGTGAGGCTTGATTTCTGCAGGTGAGATATCTGAAGTCTGGCTTATGTGAATTTGTTCACTCAGGATGCATTCTTATCCTAATGCCTCTATTAAACCTTTGCTACACTCCCCTGAGTTAGCAGAAAGGCTTCCGTTTCTAAGTGTATGTTCTATTTATTAAGCTATTTTTGTAAAATCCTCACTTTCTGCAGCATCTAAATTTACAGTTAGGTCCTCTTATAATCATTGGCTGACCTGGTCAGATTCTGCTCAGCTGAACAGAGCTAATAACATCATAGTGAGGCTTGATTTCTGCAGGTGAGATATCTGAAGTCTGGCTTATGTGAATTTGTTCACTCAGGATGCATTCTTACCCTAATGCCTCTATTAAACCTTTGCTACACTCCCCTGAGTTAGCAGAAAGGCTTCCGTTTCTAACTGTATGTTCTATTTATTAAGCTATTTTTGTAAAAGAAAAAGTCTGTATAAAAAGAAAGTGGCTGTTTGAATACAAAGAAAAAAGTTTTCCTTGTACTTAATAGCCACGAAAAACTAATTAAAATGATTGTTACTTCTTATGTAATTTCAGTCTGCCTATGTGACTGGTAATGAACTGATCATCGATGGAGGATGGAGCTTGTGATTGATCCTACATGCAAATGGAAATTCATACTATGAAAGGCAAAATGTGAGGATTGTGTTTATCAGTTAAGATAGCTCACAAAGATTTAGGTCATTCACCTGATGTCTTTCCAAAAAATTTAGTGCATTTTTACCGCTATGTAATCTCTTTCTAGATTGATCTTACTGATTCACTTTTCCCTAAATAAAAACATACTTCATGTGGCTTCATTTCATGGTAACTCGAAAAACATGAAAGAAAAACAATTTAATATTTAATATTTCTGAGGGCAAAGAATATTATTTAAGGTACAAAATCTGAGTGAACAAAATTAAGTACTACCTTTATCCTCATCCTACAAAGTATTTGAAAATTGAACATTCACAATTAGATTTCCTACTAGCATTGACAGACTATCTAGAGAAAATGGAGCCACTACTATTAAATCAGCCAAATGGGCCCTGAACTAAGTGCAGTTTAAACAGAAGGAAGCAGAAATAACAGCAAATTTGAAGATTTGAACGTCTGAATCGTTTTGTTGCCGGTAATAAGTGTTTCTATATTAGAGAACATACTAGCTGCAAACTGTACTTGAAAGCACATTCTGCTCTGCAATGTACTTTAAGTTCTTTCCATTCTCTACTATCATTAGCAAAATGTTTTAGAACTGTAATAACTGTAGAAAAACAGTTTGAATTGTTGAAAAGAACACGTCCCAAGCCTGACAACACTTACAAGTCCAGAGTGGGCAGTGGAAGACAGTGGAACACACTGTAGATACGTGGTGTATGGGACATAAAAGTTCCTGTGTGTCCAGTAAAGAGTCAGTGTGCGTGCCCAGCTGGGTTGTGCAACTGCAATGTCCTTTTTGCAGGTCCTGGGCAAATTAGGCTGTTAGAATCTGGAGAAACACTGGATCAGCACAAAAGGCAGGGCCACAGATTACCATTAGAAGCAGTAGCATTGGCTACTTTATGGAGTTTTGGAGGGTTTTTTTTGTTTAAGCACAGAACAATTATAGACACTGTCTTCATGAAGCAGAAATGGAGAGGAGCCTGCTCTAATGCTGATAACATGTAGAGAGCATACAGAATCGCACGTACTTTTACAGTCAGTTAGAAAATGAGTACATTAACTAGTACAAAAGAGGTCCTAGTGGGAGAAATAGAGGTCAGAACTGTTTCATTAATGGTATAGATCACTCTGAAAATGTTCTTGTAAGTATCATTACTATATCTTCACCACCCCCCTCCATATACTGAAAGTCTTGTGTGAGGACATCACTCTGGAAGGCATGAATGGGAGTATATGTGGGAAAAGAATTCTTAAATACACAGGTGGATCTTCAGGAATATGCTTGACTTTTGGTACACAAGAAGAGGAGTGGATTTTACCACCCTAGATAGAGCCAATATATTCCTCTTCAAAAGGATGTACTAATATTGGACAAATATTGTCAAACCTGTATGCTAGCTGCTTTTTGTTGTGATAGCACATGGTAGCTCTGATTTATGAATTGGAAACTATATCGTAAAATCTCATACTGTGGAAAAAAGCATAGGTGCTGACCCAGAGATCTAAGGTGATAAATAACCTGAATTCCAAAACTATTTGTTTTGCTAACACACTGCTAAATTGGTCATGAATGACATGGACTGACTGCCTGTAAGTATGGTAACCTTGAAAAAAGTGCACACAGGTCCATTTATCTAATTTGTGAATGAAGTTGTATGCAATTTCATATATATTCATATATATTAAATGCATATATAGGTGGGGAGGAATTAAAGAACAAATGCTGCTGAGTATGATTGATCAGTAATCAGAAAGCACAGAGGAAAAATGGTGCAACGTTTTGTGTTACTGTAAAAACTGCTATGTTTTTAAAATTATTGCTTAGATTTTTTTAATGAGTTGGAGCAGCAATATTAGATGATTTTTCAAAGCTAACAGAACACGTCTAGTTATAATCAGGCTGCTTCTTTGTAGAAGTTACATTTACTTACAATTTTAAAATGAGAAAGTATTGTGGATATTGACTTCTTCAGACTCATTATGGGTTTAACTTTTACTTTCAATCATGATTGGAGCATTCTGATGTCATGTAGTTTGTTTATGGGGTTTTGAGTATCTAGTATTTCAATAAAGTGACCCTGGCAGCCAGGCAGGATCAAGTTGAGGCAGAAATCCAAAGTTATCCAAAAGGGCTCCACCAATGTTGACTGACGTAAATTCAAATGTTAAAAGTTCAGGCTGGCAGGATTCTGTTCCAGTGCTTTCAGAATTTAATGTGGAGGCTAAAGTCCTTCCTCTGTAGTAGGTGTAGAAGGCTTGCCTTGAAAAGAGAATCACTCCACTGCAGTAACATGGGAAATTTGCACTGTGTATTCTGAAAATATACTTAAGAATCTAAGAGAAAAACCATTATGCATATTGAACTTTATCAGTTAACATTTCTAAGCTCACTGGTGACTCTAATATACGCATGCTACTCAATTATATTCATTTTTTTTTCAAAGCACTCCTGCAAGAAAAGGGTATACCATATTCTTCTTACAAAAACGCAGAGATAGGGATTTTTCAGTGGTAGTCTGAGAAGCTGGTGGAAAGAAAAAAAAAAAAATCAGTGGAGATTGTCTCTCGCCTTATTAGTAGCGCTTTTTCTGGGTGTGTTAACAGCTACAACTCTGAAATCTGTTCAAATGCCTTGGGGTTTTCCATCAGACTTGCTGGAAATATTAAAGGATAATGCTTCTTAATGCTCTTGTGGCCTCTTAATTCTCTCGTCTGTTTCTAATGGCATTGGGTAATTCTGTTTCTTTTCCTTCTACTCCAGTGATAATATAAGGAGGAGTTATTTGACTTCTCAGATTCTGGGTTAAACTTTTCAAGTTGGGGGTGGTGGTGGAGGGGAAAGAAACTTTCCTGAGTCAGAGTCCTTCTGGAAAATTTAATCTGATCAAAAAACAGTGCTTTTGTAGCCAGCTTAATTCTGTGTAATGCTACTGGGAACAAAGCAGCAGCATGTTGCATTTGAATCTGCCTGAGGTTGGAAGAGTTCCATTCCATTACGTGCGGTTACAGATGAGGTGGACACACTTGTGCTTTAAAATGTAGAAAAATCTTGATGGGAATGCCGCAAATATGCATTTTATTTATTTAGGGTTTATTCTCCTGCCTGCCCCAATGCAATTACTACTTCTGCACGCATTCAGAGCAGAATCTTCTAGAGATCCTTGTCCTTTCTTCATCCCTCAGCTCCAGGTGGGTAAGAGGTGTCTCTCTCGCTTCCCCCTGTCCCTTTCCATGGCCATGGAATCACTCCAGTCTACACAAAAGGCAAGAAGGAGGACCCAGGGAACTACAGGCCAATTAGTCTCACCTCTGTCCCTGGAAAAATAATGGAGCAACTCATTCTGGATGTCATCTCCAAACATACTGAAGATCAAGAAGTTATTGGAAGCTATCAATGTCTCACCTCTGTCCCTGGAAAAATAATGGAGAAACTCGTTCTGGATGTCATTTCCAAACATATTGAAGATCAAGAAGTTATTGGAAGCGATCAACATGGATTTGCCAAGGGTAAATCACGCTTGACCAATCTGATAGCCTTCTATGATGTTATAGCTAGATGGATGAATGAGGGGAGAGTGGCAGATGTCATCTACCTGGACTTCAGCAAGGCTTTTTACATTGTCTCCCATAACATCCTCCTTAGAAAATTAAAGAAAGGCAGGGTATAAAACAACCTTTTTAATGTGTACAGGTTGCAATGAAACAATGTGGGAAGTGGAGGGCACCCAAATCTACTCATCCTCCAGGATGCTGCGGGCTCAGGGCTGGTCTGTTTGATGGTCCTGACACCTGTGTGACAGCTCGGAGGCCGAGAGACAGGAAGGCATCCAGGAAGCCCTTTTTTGGCTTCGCAAGCTCCAGACGGAGGTTTTTGTGTTGCTGGTCTGCCTAGAGAAGCTGCGGCTTTGGAGGAGGGACCATTAGCGGCAACAGCAGGGGAGGAGGAGCCGGGGCTGGCACGGAGCTGCTGCCGCCGCTTGCGGGCAGAGGATTATCACCTCCATGAGGGACCCGAGCCCTGCCAGAGAGGCTCCACGGCCACCGGCTCCTTCTCGCTGATCCCTGCCGTTCCCCAGGTAAGTTTTCCACCCCTTTCCACCCCTGGGGCTGGCGGCGGCAGGAGAAGGCAGGGCGGGGGGAAGGAAGGAAGCTGCTGGGAGGGGGGGGGAGAAGGAGGGTGCATCAGGGTTCAGTTACGGCTTTTTTGTGGGTGATGGTGATGCATGGCTTGGATTGCCTTTTTCTTTACGTCTTCTTCCCCGAATGTTAGTTGCTCTGGGGGCGGCTGTAGCATTTAGGAAGGAAGGAAGCTGCTGGGAGGGGGGGGGAGAAGGAGGGCGCATCAGGGTTCAGTCACGGCTTTTTTGTGGGTGATGGTGATGCGTGGCTTGGGTTGCCTTTTTCTTTACTTCTTCTTCCCCGAATATTAGTTGCTCTGGCGGTGGCTGTAGTATTTTATTTGGATTCCTTTCTGCAGAACGGTGACAGTCGCCAGGGCTCTGGAGCTAATAATATAAGCACATGCTGCCCTGTCGCTCATCTCTTCAGCTCAGCTCTCCCCCTCTTTCCTCCTCACAACCAATTAAAAACAAGCAAAACGAGAGGATCTAATAAGAACGATATTAAAAACCTTTCATATTTTCAAATAAGGGAAGTATATTTTAGGGGGAGATAATGAAATAAGCCCGTTACTGGCTGGTTTCCATGGTGCAGGCCTCAGCCCCGTGGTATGAATTCCGCGCTGTGATTTCTCAATCACTGATTTTGTTTGTAAGGGGGGTGTATGTGTGAAGTTTAAAAACCAAAACAAACCCACCACCAAAAAAAAAAAAAACCAACAGAACGGGGGGGGAGAAGGAGGGTGCATCAGGGTTCAGTTACGGCTTTTTTGTGGGTGATGGTGATGCATGGCTTGGATTGCCTTTTTCTTTACGTCTTCTTCCCCGAATGTTAGTTGCTCTGGGGGCGGCTGTAGCATTTAATTTGGATTCCTTTCTGCAGAACGGTGACAGTCGCCAGGGCTCTGGAGCTAATAATATAAGCACATGCTGCCCTGTCGCTCATCTCTTCAGCTCAGCTCTCCCCCTCTTTCCTCCTCACAACCAATTAAAAACAAGCAAAACGAGAGGATCTAATAAGAGTGATATTAAAAACCTTTCACATTTTCAACTAAGGGAAGTATATTTTAGGGGGAGATACTGAAATAAGCCCGTTACTGGCTGGTTTCCATGGTGCAGGCCTCAGCCCCGTGGTATGAATTCCGCGCTGTGATTTCTCAATCACTGATTTTGTTTGTAAGGGGGGTGTGTGTGAAGTTTAAAAAACAAAACAAACACACCACCAAAAAAAAAAAAACTACAACAAAACCCCAAAGAGACAAATACCATCAACCCAAAAAATCCACAACCCACCCTGGTGTAAAGATACTAACTAAAAGATACTAACTACTCACTTTGGTCTCATTGTTCTAACTGGCCATTGCTTGAAAGTAGCAGTGTCAGGGACCTGACAGGGTGAAGACCTGTCACAAAACAGGCAAGGATGCTCCATCCACTGTCAGACAACTCATTGACACCTTGAAACCATTCCTGCTAAGCAGCACATCCGATATCTTTCCTTAGTCCTATCTTTTCTTCCCTAGATGCTCCCTGAACAACGCGTTCAGGAGCTGAAGCTGTTGTGAGGTGGACTTGGGTTTCTCAGAAGTATTAATGTATTTCATGCCAACAGCTTCATGGCCCCCAGGAACTGGGATGTCAGCCACGCAAAGCTGGGTGGAGAGCAAAATCCTTCTGTCCCTCACCCTCCACAACCCCCCTTTCAGAATTACAAAATTAAGTCCATATACCCTGGGGAAGTGGTCGGTGAAGGGAAGGAGAAAGACACTGGTAGGTTGGTGATACTTTCTGTTCCTATTAGTAAACTTGGCATTTGTGGACTCCCAGCCCTAATGAAAGGATGAACAATCCTATGACAAAAAAAAAAACCCAAAAGTATCATTTCATAAAAAAACTTTGAGACCACAGCTATTTGGTTCCACAAGTAATCATTACAAATATAGGAAAGTACTAGAATTTAAGTAAATTAACACTTTGCATTTTAAAAGGAAAAAAAGCAAAACTGTTATCTTAAAACATATTGAAAGTGTTTGCTCATGAAAGGATGAACAATCCTATGACAAAAAAAAAAACCCAAAAGTATCATTTCATAAAAAAACTTTGAGACCACAGCTATTTGGTTCCACAAGTAATCATTACAAATATAGGAAAGTACTAGAATTTAAGTAAATTAACACTTTGCATTTTAAAAGGAAAAAAAGCAAAACTGTTATCTTAAAACATACTGAAAGTGTTTGCTCATGGCTCTGCATTCTTCCTCTGTGCCTTGGCTATGTCTCAAGGCAGTTTCATATCAGAATAGCTCAAACAAAACCACCCAGCTGTTAAAATAGCCCCTGTCTTTGTTCATGGCATCCATCGTTCCCAAATACCAAACATATCAATATACATTGAAGGCTTGATAATTGTGAGAATTGGCGCTCTGACCTGCTTCCAGCAATTTAGCAAAGAAGGAATTTCTTGGCTCAGAAGTTCTGGCTTAACTCAAGTGGTGTTTTATATGGCTAGAGCAACGTAAAAGACTTTGAGAAAATGCTGTTAGCACTGAACCATAGTTGGGGGAGAAGACAGGTGTATGGTTGCTGTAACAGAGAAGAACACTAGCAAGCCTTGTGCTCAGATATGTGCATGCCACTCTTGCTGCCTCAGACTTGTGAAACTACAGTAAATATTTGTACAAAAAAAATTCTGCCATACAGAGCTGTACAGTGCCGTATCTCTCGTTAGCATCTGCGGGACAAGAAGTCGACCAATTAGACTGAGTAAATATAACAGCGATTACTCACTTGGACCTTATTTCCTGCTCTGAGAAGTATCCGGCTCCTTCTCGCTGATCCCTGCCGTTCCCCAGGTAAGTTTTCCACCCCTTTCCACCCCTGGGGCTGGCGGCGGCAGGAGAAGGCAGGGCGGGGGGAAGGAAGGAAGCTGCTGGGAGGGGGGGGGAGAAGGAGGGTGCATCAGGGTTCAGTTACGGCTTTTTTGTGGGTGATGGTGATGCATGGCTTGGATTGCCTTTTTCTTTACGTCTTCTTCCCCGAATGTTAGTTGCTCTGGGGGCGGCTGTAGCATTTAATTTGGATTCCTTTCTGCAGAACGGTGACAGTCGCCAGGGCACTGAAGCTAATAATATAAGCACATGCTGCCCTGTCGCTCATCTCTTCAGCTCAGCTCTCCCCCTCTTTCCTCCTCACAACCAATTAAAAACAAGCAAAACGAGAGGATCTAATAAGAGTGATATTAAAAACCTTTCACATTTTCAACTAAGGGAAGTATATTTTAGGGGGAGATACTGAAATAAGCCCGTTACTGGCTGGTTTCCATGGTGCAGGCCTCAGCCCCGTGGTATGAATTCCGCGCTGTGATTTCTCAATCACTGATTTTGTTTGTAAGGGGGGTGTGTGTGAAGTTTAAAAAACAAAACAAACACACCACCAAAAAAAAAAAAACTACAACAAAACCCCAAAGAGACAAATACCATCAACCCAAAAAATCCACAACCCACCCTGGTGTAAAGATACTAACTAAAAGATACTAACTACTCACTTTGGTCTCATTGTTCTAACTGGCCATTGCTTGAAAGTAGCAGTGTCAGGGACCTGACAGGGTGAAGACCTGTCACAAAACAGGCAAGGATGCTCCATCCACTGTCAGACAACTCATTGACACCTTGAAACCATTCCTGCTAAGCAGCACATCCAATATCTTTCCTTAGTCCTATCTTTTCTTCCCTAGACGCTCCCTGAACAATGCATTTGGGAGCTGAAGCTGTTGTGAGGTGGACTTGGGTTTCTCAGAAGTATTAATGTATTTCATGCCAACAGCTTCATGGCCCCCAGGAACTGGGATGTCAGCCACGCAAAGCTGGGTGGAGAGCAAAATCCTTCTGTCCCTCACCCTCCACAACCCCCCTTTCAGAATTACAAAATTAAGTCCATATACCCTGGGGAAGTGGTCGGTGAAGGGAAGGAGAAAGACACTGGTAGGTTGGTGATACTTTCTGTTCCTATTAGTAAACTTGGCATTTGTGGATTCCCAGCCCTAATGAAAGGATGAACAATCCTATGACAAAAAAAACCCCAGAAGTATCACTTATTTCATAAAAAAAACTTCTGAGATCGCAACTATTTGGTTCCACAAGTAATCATTACAAATATAGGAAAGTACCAGAATTTAAGTAAGTTAACACTTTGCATTTTAAAAGGAAAAAAAGCAAAACTGTTATCTTAAAACATATTGAAAGTGTTTGCTCATGGCTCTGCATTCTTCCTCTGTGCCTTGGCCACGTCTCAAGGCAGTTTCATATCAGAACAGCTCAAACAAAACCACCCAGGTGTTAAAATAGCCCCTGTCTTTGTTCATGGCATCCATCGTTCCCAAATACCAAACATATCAATATACACTGAAGGCTTGATAATTGTGAGAATTGGCGCCCTGACTTGCTTCCAGCAATTTAGCAAAGAAGGAATTTCTTGGTTCAGGAGTTCTGGCCTAACTCGAGTGGCGTTTTATATGGCCAGAGCAACGTAAAAGACTTTGAGAAAATGCTGTTAGCACTGAACCATAGTTGGGGGAGAAGACAGGTGTATGGTTGCTGTAACAGAGAAGAACACTAGCAAGCCTTGTCCTCAGATATGTGCATGCCACTCTTGCTGCCTCAGACTTGTGAAACTACAGTAAATATTTGTACAAAAAAAATTCTGCCATACAGAACTGTACAGTGCCGTATCTCTCGTTAGCATCTGCGGGACAAGAAGTTGACCAATTAGACTGAGTAAATACAGCAGCGATTACTCACTTGGGCCTTATTTCCTGCTCTGAGAAGTATCTCCATGGGATGTAAGCAATAAAAAAGAGCCATGTTTTATCAGCCTCACCTGAATATAGAGTGCAAGTTTTACATGGTCCCAATCTTTATTCACTTGATGTGTTTGTGAATAGTAACATCTGACAGAACCGTGTTCTTGAAAATTCCCCTGAAAATCAAGCTGGATTTGATCAGGTTTAAGTTCAAGAAAAAAGTGTCCCCTCATGTGTATGCTTTAGAAACTACAGTTGTTGTTGTTAGCTTTATGCAATGGTCGCCTCCACTGCCACGCACAGAGGGCCTGTGACAGGTTCAGAACTAATCATCCTGGTAAGTGGTGTTGACAGCAAATAACCTTTATCTTGTGCTGATATGAGGAACAAAAAGATATATATCTATATCACGGCCATACTTTTAAGGAGGAAATAACAGGTTAGCTCAGATTACCATGATTCTAAAACTCAGATATTATTTTTTTAAATTTTATTTTTTTTAGTGCATGACTTTGTAAGCTTAATACTCATCTTCTGTTACTTTCTAGTTTTCTGGTTTTTGTTCTTATATACAGCATATAGAGGTATGCAAAAAACACTAAATTCCAAATTGAGCTGTGAAGGTTTTTTCACCTGATCTATGGAGGGGGGAGGGAACATCACTGAGAAGTCTTCTAGCTGGGAAATAATATTGTTTGTCTCTAATTTGTCTATCTTTATTGCTTTTCCTAGGTTTGTAACAATGGTAAAGGAGGATACTGTACGTGACAATGAAAATCCTGACCCATCAGTATGTGACAGAAATGGCATGATTCCCATGCATGAGCAAAGCGAGGTAATTAATTAGGATCTCAAAGTACAATTTTTAGTCAAACGGAACCCTCCTTTTCCTTTCCTTTTTCTTTCTACATCTGTTAAAATACCTATAGCTGAAGAGAATGCAAAGAGAAATCTCCTCAGTGGGAATTTCTTACAACTAACAAATGTTCAGTTTCTAAAAGTCTGCGGATTGCTGAAAATCAGTGGTGGTGATTTCAGCTTGAAGTGGAAAATGCATCAGCGTGCCTTTTACAATCAGTGAGGGAAGAGAATTGTGTGGACTTAAGGTTGCTTCTTTGCTTTTGAATTGTGCCTGTCAGACCACTGGCTGAAAGTTGTTCATGCACGTCTTCCTTTTCTTATCTATTAAAAATAAAACCCCACAAATCATTGTTTTAAATGTCTCTATGCATATTGCCAGTGTTCTTGGAAATGCCTACAGCTTTGAAGAAGATTTGCAGTAAATGCAAGTAAGAATAACATTCTTAACATAAAAGACACTTTAGAACAAACATAGAGTGTATGTATAGTATAGTGTAACTCTAAAAATATCATATGGTATATCTTTATAGACATGGGTAGCTGGTGATCACAGAATCACAGGGTAGAGAAACAAGTAACTCCATGCTGAGAGCTCACAAGATTTGTGTTCCAGCTGTGACTCTGAGTAAAGGATATATATATACATATATATATATGGAGAGAGATAGAGATGAGACAGAAAAATAGTGGGAAATGTGGAACTGTCACTGGAGGAGGGCCAAACCACAGTGTAGGCAAGAATTCCATGTCCATGCTGTGACAATGAGCTGACATGAAGGTGAATAATCGTAAGGAAAGGTAGATGATTAATATCAAAAAATAAGGACCCTAAAATGGAGTGGGACACATATCCAAAAATGGTCAAAAAGTGCTTTGGTTATGAATATGGATAAGCAGATGAATCAGTATAAGAGAACAGCTTCAGGGAACTATTCTTCAAGGAAATAACTCCCAGGGTAGTATTTCTTCATCTCTACCTTGACTTACCAGCTTGAGCCTTCCAGCAATGGATCATGTGAGTAAGGCTTGCACTGGCCAGCTCTTCTGTTTCTTTCATCTTTGTCTAACTAGAAGTAAGTTTTGCTATTTGGTTCAAGGCATTGCACCAGAAGTTATTTAGGAGTTGTATTAAAGACATTTTTTCACTTGAATGATGCTAATCGTTAACTGTAGTGTGGAATCCAGTCTGGAAGCAGAACCCTACCTACCAAATTGTGGAAAATACTGATAAACATTTTGCTAATATACAAGATAAGCCGAACCTGCCCTATTAATATTGTTTCTCCATCAAATATGCTGATATCGTTGCTGAACAGGTACTATTTGTATTGGGACAGGAGTCCTGCCAGTTGCAGATTAAAAGGCGAATGTCTCTCAGTCTCTCACATGCAGCTCCCTGTGCCACGCAAAAACAAACACATAACCAGAAATCCCAAATATGCTCCAAAGCTGGACTGTTCCTACAGCGATTGTGTAGTCAATGCAGTCACTTGTAGATGGTGTGGATCTAGTGCATCACAGCTGATTCCAGGTCTTGTACGCTACTTCAAATGTCTACAGTGCCACTTCTGAGAGAGTGTCAATTGTTTTCATTCAGGAGGGACCAACAGCAGATGCCAAAGGTACTGATGGGACTATACAAACAGAAGAAACTGCTCTCTTGAATCACTGTGCTCAGCCACCTCCGGAACCGATAGCAGCCTCTTCAATACCTGCAAGAACTTGGAGGCAAATATTTACTTGTCCTCCTCAGGGTTTACTGGCCCAAACAGTGACAAATGGTATGTAAGAAATAATTTAATTAACCTGAGAAATGGCAAATGAAGTATTCGTTTTTCTAGATGTGATGATACCATCTGTCTATTGTCCTTGAAAACAATGAAGAGAAATAGCTATGTTTTACAAATCACACTTTTGTTTCAACATTCTAGCAGGAAAAAAAAAATTAAGTGAAGCTAAGATTTGAATTTGTAATTTTTGTTCCTCCATTCTCTCTTCTGTGGTTAACATGGTAGGTATGTTTTTGCAATTTGCAAATTGTTTTCATGAGAAGAAAGACCTCCTAATTCTCATCTTGATAGTTCATTTTGGTGTGAGAGCATTGAGATTATTATTAACACAGCTGGGTTTTTGGCACACTGGATGGCTTTGTGTTGAATGAAGGCAACAAACGTGAGACTTTGCAGTCTTATGT